GGGAAGGTCATTATATGATTGCTTTTTCAAAATGGGTCTTTTAAAGATTTTCCATTAAAATACGTAGTATATTTCATCTCGTTCATAAGTTAGGATATAAGTAATCAGCTCGACTATGGTGCCTGGTGACTGTTTCCCATTAGTTAGACCTAGAGGTCCTGAGGTACACTAAACAATTTAAAGAACTAAGCTCAGTGTTTTTCAAAACGGAAAAAAACGAAACCTACATTTGCTTTTTCAACTCATGAACTTTGTGAACTTTCGCGGTTTTAATTTGATTGGTATGAAAAAAATGTTTTCATAAAATTCTTTATTTATAGTATTTTATATCTGTATTTGATAATAATATTACTTACCCTGAAGGTGGAGATGTCTAACTCAAGTTCTACGTCGTCTCTAGACATGCTATTTGGCTCAATGTCTCTAGCATCAGCTCTGCCGGGGATTATAGGGAACGTCTGGATACTGAAAATGTTTTACTCTGAAAAGCAGCTCCTCTCTCGTAAGATCTTCATCTTGATCGCCCTCACGGACATAACAACATCCTTTTGGAGCGGGATACCGTTTGGAATATCAAGATTGATGGCCAGGGAACCGGTGCTGTTTGAAAACGAAGCCTTCTGCAATTTTTCTGGTCTGGTTTTCAACATAACCTCCCGACTCTCCGTCTTCCTCATTTCCATCCTGAGCTTCACCCGGTGTATTGCTATCATCAGCCCAATGCAGCATATCAGAAGCAACCTCATCATAGGATCTATAGCAGGATACAGCATGATACAGCTCATTATTGGGAGCATTCCGTTTCTCAACATTTTCATGTCTTCAGATTCTGGTGGAGACAGAAAGTTCTACAAGTTCAACCAGCACTATACTAACTGTGTCTGGTCGGTTGATCAGGTGATCCCCGACACTAACAAGATGTTGTACGACGTAGCGGAGTACCTTCTCCTCTTCGTCCCCTTCTTCTTCCCCTCCATCATAGTGCTGGCTAGCTGCTGTGTCTGCATCGTCTCCCTCGTCAAATCAGCTTCTAACTTCCCAACCTCCTCCCTCATCCGGAAAGACAGCGATGGAGACAAGAGTCGCATGTCATCCCGGCTCCGAGCTTGCTCCTTAGACGTCAGACCAGACGGAGATGTGATTATTCCTAATTCCGGACGGAGTGGTCGGAGCTCCATCCTGAGCACAAAGTACCGGGCCACCAGAACAATTACCCTGGTTACCCTCCTCTTTGTTACCCTTAACTTCCCATACTGGGTCATCCTCCTCCTCTTCTTCATTGAACAGAACTCAGGACTTGAGATTATCAACTATCGGAACGAGTACGTGAGGTGCTTGTTTGTCTTCTGCACTAACGTCAGTCCCTACCTTAACGCTGGACTCAATCCCATTATCTATCTAGTAAGAACCAAGGAGTCTAAATTTAGTCTCACTCTCAGCGCTAACTGGATAAGAATGGACAACTTGCGAGCACGGTCTGCATCAAGATTACGTGATTTATTTCTCTAATATTTCATAATTACGTGATTTATTTCTCTAATATTTCATAATTACGTGATTTATTTCTCTAATATTTTATAATTATAGGTTATATAGTTTGGAGATTTTTTATGTTTCGGTGGAATTCCGCGGATCTTGAATAATCATTCTTGGCACAATGATAATAGACATTGAAGAATTTGAACACTGTAGGTTGGTTTTGTGCTTACCCCGCAGTAAAACACTTGAACACCTTTTTTCAACATTAAAAGTTATTAAAAAGCTTCTTAAAACTAGGTTGCGTAAGGTTCGTTGCATTAACTAACCTGAATCTGATTCTGGCACCAACAAAAGGAGAGTTAGAGTAGAGACTAAAGTAAATGTTAAATATTTGTAATTCTTAATATTTGAGGCAAGAAAAACCCAACTCTTGGACGCAGAGATGATTGGGACTCCACCAACTACATTAAATATATTCATTCTGTTTTATTTAAAAAAAGCAATGTATTACAGTAGGACAAGAAACACTTGGGATAAGTTGTTCTTTACCCCATATTGATTTGAAGTTCATGCTGACTGTCAAAATTGTGTTCACCCTGTATTTTGGTTTGATATGTAATCGATTTAAAATGAGCTTAAATATTGTACTTTTTAGAGCATCATTTCATGGCAATTCAAACAAAATACTGCATCGATTTAAAATGTGTGGTTGTAATAAAAAATATCCGTTATATTATATGTTTAAATCTAGGTAAATATTGCTAAAAATAAATAGATATAATATATTAATGCTTTTTATACAAAGTTACAACAAAGTCTCCATGTTATGTATCCTGGGTTTGAACAGGATATTACCCGCTTAAAATATTTCCATCACGTTACATAATACTCAATAAATTTATTTGATTGTAGTTGTGAAAATAGTTTATATATAAACTATTTTGACTTATTTGTATATATACAAATAAGTCAATTCTATTCTTATTGATATGTTGGGTAGATACATTGCCGTTCGGACGGAAGAGAATGACTGTAAACTGTAAAGCTACTGTATCAATGTGTTATAGTAGCCTAGATAGAGACTGATCTCAATCTCTGATTATTTTGGGGTTAAAAAGTTTGTCATACACCATTGTGTAATGTGTATACAGTTATTAGGACTGCCAATTCTAAATAGTTCATCACAGAGTACTGTGTTTTTTGCTGTTTGTGTTATATTATCTTATGATCTGTGCAAAAAAGATATCATTTTAATGTTTGACTAATCAAACCTGTTTTTAATTTTCGCAATCATGATAGAAACGTGCCTTTGGATAATTAGCTGGATGGATAGTATCCCTCGTTAACGAAATGTAAAGATATCAAATATTTGTTTGAGATAAATTTAAAACATTACGGTTTACGTACTTATGGTTATGACATTGGATAAGTTATTTGAAATAAGAAATAAGAAATAAGGTACTAGGTGGCCTAGTGGTTAGAGCATCCGCCTTCTGCGCAGAAGGTTCAGGGTTCAAATCCCAGTGTCACCTAGCCTAGGGAGTATGCGATCTCCTCGGTCGACTCAGCCGAATGATAGGAAACTTAATTGAGGGTTAAATGAGGAGGGGTACCTGTTAAAAGTTTAAGGAACTTCCTAGGATACCCCTTCAGTACATACTGTAAACATCTGGGGAGGGTTGAATGATTTAGCAACCCTACAATGTTCACCCTCAATTTCCACCCTACAATTTCCACCCTACAATATCCACCCTACATTATCCACCCTACAATATCCAACCTACAATGTTCACCCTACAATATCCACCCTACAATGTCCACCCTCATTGTCCACCCTATAATGTCCACCCTCAATGGCCACCCTGCAATATCCACCCTACAATATTCACCCTACAATATCCACCCTACAATGGTCACCCTACAATATCCACCCTTAAATATCCACCCTACAATGTCCACCCTACAATATCCACCCTACAATATTCACCCTACAATATCCACCCTACAATGGTCACCCTACAATATCCACCCTTAAATATCCACCCTACAATGTCCACCCTACAATATCCACCGTCAATGCAATGTCCACCCTCAATGTTCACCCTACAATTTCCACCCTACAATATCCACCCTTAAATATCCACCCTACAATGTCCACCCTACAATATCCACCGTCAATGTCCACCCTCAATGTTCACCCTACAATTTCCACCCTACAATGTTCACTCTAAAATGTCCACCCTCAATGGCTCAATGTTCACCCTACAATACATAACAACCTGATCTACACTTGGGTCAGGAAACTATGATAAACTGGGTAAACATGAGATAACAAGAAGAGCATATAATGTGGTTTTTTTTTTCATTAAGGCCCGTATTCACCAACCTTTAAGTCATACTTAAACAGCGTTTTAAGTAACAACTTTAACAGTTTAAGTGGCAACTTTAAAAATGGTATTCACGAAATTCTCGATTAAGTGGCTCAGTTGGTTAATCCGCCTGGTATTGCTTGAGGTACCAGGTTCGATTCCCGACTCTGTCACTAGCCGTGGGGTGAGCGTCGTCGACGCTCAGCTAAGGATCCTGAGTGGTCTATGCAGCCCCCCGGTCCACTCAGCCAAATACTCGAGAAATCGGGTGTGAGGGTTAAATGAGGAGCTGCCCATTGCAGCAAAGTCTCGGGCGAAGAAAGTATGGTACACACTACCTTAACCGTCACTGGCCTAATGTATAATTGAATCCTTCGGCTTCCTGTAATTGGCTGGTTACACACTTGTGTAACAATGTGGCTGTTGGAATGTCCGAAGTAAAATAAGTGTTGAGATTTAAATTTTTAAAAAAGTGTCACCCTTAATTTTTAAGGATCAATTTGGTATTCACCAAATCGACTGACACTTAAGTTGGTACTTAAACTCACACTTAAAACGGATATTTTTGAGGTGCACCTAATATCGCCCTTAAACTACAGACCTCCTACTTTAAATAGTACTTAAATAAGCCTCCCCATTTTCTGTTCCACATTCCAAAATATAAATGCTTGATATCAGCCATTTAAAATCGACTTGATAACCCCGCCCACCAACAGATGGCGAAATTATTAGATATTTAAATTGTAAAATACCGATTTAAAGGGAGAGAGTAAAAGTGGGAGGCAATCATATCAAATAGCTGTCAGGACTAAAGATATGTCTACTGAAAGATATAAATTCAGCTATAATAAAAACACTTTTATCGGATGATTGCTAATTTCATAGCAAAGTACCTTTAAACAGAATCTATTCTCTCGTTTCTTTAAAGTAGGTTAAATGATCTCAACATATTGTTTGTCTTTCATACAAAGAAAACTCCATTTTTCATATGATAGTTTTTCGTTGCAGTAAGATCTTCAAGATCAAAGCTTCAAAGCAACTGAAAGCTACAAATTGAGCTGATGTTTAACTTAAGTAGCTGTCAGAATAGCAAGCTTACTAAGTAACCTGAGTTTTACTTATACGTCGATCAGTGATTAAAGTATTTTTCAGATTCATGCAGCAAGATATAATCAAGAGTCTGTCTTCCAATCAGAACCACCACAGTAAGTAGTAGAGTAAGAAACGTTTAGTTAACTACTTCCTGTAGTTGCAAAAAATATCGGAGGAGTCTGAGTTGGGGATTGAGAAGTCTTCCTCGCAAAAATGACCCAGATCTTTTCATATAACTAAAGAGCCTTTTTCTAGTTTCTGCTTTTTTTTGGGGGTTTTTTTCTTTTCCTTTTTTTTGTAACTTGTAATCTAATTCGACTGCATTGAAAACAAAACCCATAGGCACTCTTTTCAATGTTTTTTAATCAAGTAAGAGTTCACTGACCTATACTGGCTCCTCAATTCTAACATTTTTTCTTTTTTTTAACCCAAAAAAACCCAACTTTACCTAAAATTTCCATTTTGGGAATGGGTTTTTGTGGGTTTTTTGGGGTTGGAGTTTGGACACCCCCCCCCCCCCCCCTCCCCCACATAGTGTTTTTACCCGCTTGATAACGGGGTCTTAAATAGCTAAAATTTGGCCAATATCTTTAAAGATGGTTCCGTTAGAGATCTGAACTGAAATCTGCTGTGAATTTTCGAATTGATCTAGCGAATTGTTGACAGGCCAGATTAATTTGAAGTCAGGATTTCGGATACCACTAATTTGATTACTTGTCTCGGTTAACTTTCTTGGTGGTAAAGTTGTCGAGCCAAAATGGTCGTCATTACTCTACCGTTTACCTAATTTAGAAAGTGGAGCAGATACTGTTATAGAGACACCGGACTAGTTTCAGTCATATTAAAATATTGCTACTTGTCGGACATAAGTCATTCCCAAATTGTTCGCTAATTTACAACGCTTAAACTAACACGGGAAATGATTTCAGAGAAGCAGGAGGAAATGCTGAAGCTGCTCTACGATGCAATGTACGGAGTACTGCATTCCTCCTTTGTTAATCTGGAATCCTCTGATTTCACCTCAACCTCTCCCTTCCCTCACGACCAGCCCCACACTCTAGACTCCCTCAGTCTCATATACGAGAACTGCGCCCTTTTCTCTGATATCTACCTAAGGTTTTTAATGTTGTTATCAGGTCGCTCCCAGACAATTAAACAGTTTCCTGTCACTTAAGTATGTAATGGTAACTATGGTAACAAGGTATGATCTGCTCAATATTGTTGAATAATACCAACGTTATATGAAAGGTAAGTCTATAGTGAGAATATGTAGTATAAAGTATAAACTCTATGCTACATATTCTCAGTGAGCTATAGCTCTATAAATGTTGAGACGTGGATACTAAGCTGAAAAGACCACACAAAATTAACAGAATTGCCCGTTTTTCGGTTCGCGATCTCATTAAAATTGAAATAACTTTCAATGTTTTTGCGTGAAATTTTCAGAATCGATTCAGAATCGGATTTGGGCCTTGTTGTGGTCGGCAATTTTTAATCTAGGCCTCCAAAATTAATTCTTTTCTATGGGTGCAATTTTTTCCAATCTGGATGAAAATTCGTATATGAGTTCGGAAGACCACTAGCTACAAGTAAAGCACCCATAATCTGGGTTCTTTTGCTGATGTAATCCATATTCGGGCAATCTAATAACCACTAAAGTAGTTTCCTGACACATGCTTCATATCCCTAGTTTTGTATCTAAGCGATGAGTATTTTACTGTTTAAGCAATGAATTCCGACTGTCTCGCTTACTTAAATGATAATTAAATTGTCTCCGTGTCTCGCATCCGTTGTAATGCGTGGGAAAGTAAGTAAGCAAGATAAATTACTAGTCCAGTCATTGATAATCGGCTCCAACATTCCCTGATACTTATAGTTCTGAAAGTACATAGCTTCCCCAAGGTTAGGAATACAAAACAATGCTCGGAGCAAAGATATGTCAGCTTCCTAAGGTCCTATTGGACAGTCCAACCGCATTGAAGGATCTACTGAGGAAGTCTCAAAAACACGCTTTTCAAAAATGTTTATCTGGCACCTGATCGAACACTGGAGCAGAGAGTAGAACATCGGAAACTGGTATCAGAGTTGAGAGAGAAAGCTCGAGAAACACCGAACGAACAGTATTTCATCAAGAATGGCGTAGTTTGCAGTCAAGCGAAATCAATTGAAAATAAGGACATTGTCTCGACAAGTTCAGCAATCGAAAACAGTAGTGCAGGAGGACTAACTCTAAGCATCATTTAGCGCGTAATCGACACCCAGACCACTTTTATGGCATCATATAGCACGTAATCGACACCATACCACATATTTTACGGCATCATATAGCGCGTAATCGACCCCCATACCACTTTTACGGTATCATTATATAGTGCGTAATCGACCCCCAGACCACTTTTACGGCATCATATAGTGCGTAATCACTAATCGACCCCTAGACCACTTTTACGGCATCATATAGCGCGTAATCGACACCCAGCCCAATTTTACGGCATAATATAGTGAGTAATCACTAATCGACCCCCAGACCACTTTTACGGTATCATATAGCGCGTAATCGACACCCATACCACTTTTATGGCATCATATAGCGCGTAATCGACACCATACCACATTTACGGCATCATATAGCGCGTAATCGACCCCCATACCACTTTTATGGCATCATATAGCGCGCAATCGACACCCATACCACTTTTACGGCATCATATAGCGCGTAATCGACACCATACCACATTTACGGCATCATATAGCGCGTAATCGACCCCCATACCACTTTTATGGCATCATATAGCGCGTAATCGACACCCATACCACTTTTACGGCATCATATAGCGCGTAATCGACACCCATACCCCTTTTATGGCATCATAATAGCGCGTAATCGACATCCATACCACTTTTACGGCATCATATAGCGCGAAATCGACACCCATACCACTTTTACGGCGTAATCGACACCCAGACAACTTTTATGGCATCATATAGCGCGTAATCGACGACCACCACCAGGATATGTGTCACCAGTGACAACTGACTCATCAGATTGTGACGGTTAGACAATTTAAATTTGGTCCCCCCATAATAAAATTTGTTATTATAACTGGGTTGATTTCGCTGTTTATCTTCTACAGCATCACATTTTCCGGGTTACATGGCTGATAAGAAGTTTTTTAAGGACATCTATATAATGTTTAAATATTATTACATGGCACGTTTTAGGATTGAATTAATATTGTTATTAAAATGCTCATTGTAGCCATATATTTTAGATTTTCATCATCATCCTAAGGTCCGGCTTACTTTTTGAGTTACCGAGGGGAAAACAGAGAAAATGTTCACAAAGTTTGATAAAATAGCCATAATATCTGCTTCCTTCTTTTTACCAATTTCTCAAAAAGTGAGCATTTTAAATATGGCAATTCCCAATAGAACTGTTCGTCGTGCTTGAACTAATATTAAATAAACTTTATATTCTTTGAATTTCAAATAAATTAGCTGTAGTCTAGTAGTAGTATGGTCGGATTAATACGCTTTAACCCTGTCTACCGTCCTGGGCGATAACCCATGGTTAAACAACATCTGTTGCCTGCAATTAAACTGATTAGGACACTCTGAGCCTGATCAAATTGCGGTATTCTTACTCCTAACTTTAATGAGTCTAGCTTAAAATGCCACGTCTAGTGACGTCTGTAGCTGTTACAATTCTAGTTCATGATTCATATTTCTGTGGATAGATTACAAGCATTGAATGAATGATTGATCAGAAACTAACACATACGAGCTGATTAAGGAATCGATAACAGTCACATGGAGTAAAAACGTTATTTTTGTTAAATTAAACCATTTTTATCTCAGGTATCCCGATATGACGGAATCACTGTACAGAAAATTCAAATGGGCTGATTTCAGCGATCTTATTAAGAAGAGTATCCAATTCTGTTCTGAAAGTAAGGTAAGATAATACTAATAGTAAAGTAAGGTAATAAAATCATATGTTTCACCTTAATCAGCTGCTCCAAGTTTTAGTTAATACATTAATTAAGTTTTGTAAGATTTATGATTTGTTCGGTAGGCTCACTGCCTCACATTGAATGTATTCTTCAGGAAGTTTTCAACAGTAAAAACGAACACGGAAAGCTGCTGAACCTTGTAATGCAGGAGCTACAACTCATACCAAAGACTCCGGTACGATAATATAGCCACGTGGTTCACCTCGTGAGTCACGTGGTTCACCTCGTGAGTCACGTGGTTCACCTCGTGAGTCACGTGGTTCACCTCGTGAGTCACGTGGTTCACCTCGTGAGTCACGTGGTTCACCTCGTGAGTCACGTGGTTCACCTCGTGAGTCACGTGGTTCACCTCGTGACCCTTATATTGTTCAATTTGCGCTCTTCTTTTAGTCTACTGTCAGTACCCACCTCCTAGGGTCAAACTAAGGGGCTAATTTAATTGGTTTATGTTAATTTATTCATTAATAAGTATTTTTAGATAATTGATTAATTTATTATTTTATTTATTTACTTGATTGAGTCGATGAATTTATTTATTTTTGTTTTCAGAATTACCAGAACCCGTACCGGAAAGTGCTCCCTACACCCAAACAGAAGACTGATAAAAAACGAGAAAAGAAGAAACTACCCAGGGGCCCTTATATAAGCAAAGTAAAAACTGAACTATAGAAACTTTCACTCGAATAATGAGAGTTAAAATTAAGAATATTTATATTGACGAGAGAGTTTTCCATGAAATGATTTTCTTGACATTATACACATTCAATTTCTGTATCTTAACAGTTGCAGATGTTTGTGTCGAAAAGGGTAGAAAGTTTGTAGCTATTTATTATGATATTGGGTTCAGATATTAATAAGATATTAATCAGATATTAATCAGATATTTCAGATATTTTAGATATTTTTATTATTATTATTCATATTTACAATTTAATTCTTATTTATTATCATTTAATACCAATACAAGTGTTTTCATTGGACGAGAGAAGCACTATGATTGCTGTGATCTTAAAGTTAAACGACTTATCACGTGACCCCAACAAATGACAAACACAATTTGCTTGATGAATCAACTTGCCAAGTCATTGACTATATAGCAACAAAAACCAATAGTTAATAACAAATTAATAAAAAATTAAAATATTTAGATTTTTCTAGAAAAAAGCTTGAATGCAATACAAAATATCGTTTCTATTAAAACCAAATACTGACAATGAAAATTACACATATATTTTTTACAAAGACATATTTATGATCGTTTATCGGAATCATTTGGTTTTAGATTGGAAGCCGTTAATGTTGATAGTACTCATGGTAGTGGTAGTGGTAGTAAGTGGTGGTATTTCTGGAAGGTTCTTGATATTTATCACCGAAATCTTCACATGAACTTAGTCTCGTCACCTGTAAGTATGTGTTTACCTGTAAGTATGTGTTTACCTGTAAGTATATTATGTGTTTACCTGTAAGTACGTGTTTACTGATTACTGATTAGCTGGGATTTTAGAGCTCAATGTCGGGTATTCTGTTTCCATGGTTTCACTAGTTATATAATCTTGGAACACACTTAAGAGCATAATTACTAATTAGGAACTATACTCTAGTAGCAGGGAGGGAACTTGCTTCACTAAGAAATAGTCTCACTAAAGTAGGAAAGTCAGAATCCGGCCAATTTTGAATTGCTATTCATTCAATGAGAACATTACCTACTTAAACATAAATTGAAAAATGTATCGCTTTATTTTATTGTGACAAGTAAATTTCTTCGAATGACAGAGAATACTTCTTATTACAATATAATATACCCACATAGGCCCGCAGTATCAGTCTCCCATATAGACACCCCCCAGGAGTTGAAGAGGACGAGAGTGTTATCATCCTCTACTACCAGTGTGTGGTAACTGGACTGTGTGTTAGCAGAACCTGAACCACTTTCCCACAATACTTCGTTATCGTCGTCATATAGCACCATATTACCATTAGCCTGGTTATGATTAATAATCGATCATTACAAATATGATACCGGAAACATTATGACTCTGTGAGTGTGTGACACTGGAAATGCTGTGAGTGTGTGACTCTGTGAGTGTGTGACACTGTGACTCTGTGAGTGTGTGACACTGTAAGTGTGCTGTGTGTGACACTGTGACTCTGTGGGTGTGTGACACTGTGACTCTGTGAGTGTGTGACACTGTAAGTGTGCTGTGTGTGACACTGTGACTCTGTGAGTGTGTGACGCTGGAAATGTTGTGAGTGTGTGACACCGGTAACAAATAACTGAATACAAGATAACTGTATTAAAGGGTTACACCACTATCTGAACAAAGCTTGAATAGATTTACTGGGCGGCACTCAGCCTGTCATTCTGCCGAATCTCTATTCGGATTATGATTTTGATAATGAACATGAATATAATAGCCTGGGGTCCCCAGGTAAGAATAGACCAGTGTTGGTTATGAATGATAATGGAGACAGTTGGACTATGTAGGTCTTGGATTTCCGTCACATCTTTTAATTAATTTAAAACTACTCACCTGGATGATCAGACCGGACACTACGGATGCTCCTCCGGTACCGGACTCCCAAATCAATTTTTTGTTTTCGCAGTAGAGAACAAATCTTCCAGTTTTCTCCACAACCAAAGTAGTTTCTTTATTCTTTGCTATCAACTTTTGACCCATTTCCAAAAAAGGGTCTTCTGATGAAACTCTGCATTGGTTTTCTTTACAACTATTTCCTGCGTGAATGTTGTATTAACAAATATTTCCTGCGTGAATGTTGTATTAACAACTATTTCCTGCGTGAATGTTGTATTAACAACTATTTCCTGCGTGAATGTTGTATTAACAACTATTTCCTGCGTGAATGTTGTATTAACAACTATTTCCTGCGTGAATGTTGTATTAACAACTATTTCCTGCGTGAATGTTGTATTAACAACTATTTCCTGCGTGAATGTTGTATTAACAACTATTTCCTGCGTGAATGTTGTATTAACAACTATTTCCTGCGTGAATGTTGTATTAACAACTATTTCCTGCATGAATGTTGTATTAACAACTATTTCCTGCGTGAATGTTGTATTAACAACTATTTCCTGCATGAATGTTGTATTAACAACTATTTCCTGCATGAATGTTGTATTAACAACTATTTCCTGCGTGAATGTTGTATTAACAACTATTTCCTGCATGAATGTTGTATTAACAACTATTTCCTGCGTGAATGTTGTATTAACAACGTTCGGTATTATTGATACTATAATTTTTTGATTCCCTGGTTTACGAAAGCAATCACAGTAAACAAAATAACTGAATTTATTTAAATCTTGTTTAGTGTATTGGCGTTCTCTATGTATCTAATTATGTCGAATGTACAAATACTGATGATAAAGTAGTTTAGAGTATCAGCATGTAATTGGCCAGACAATGACAAAAGAAAATCGCGATTATTTAGGTCAAAAATCGCGGCGCCGCGACATGCCAAAATAGGCAAAATTGCGGCGAACATCTCGAAAATCGCGGCGAAAGATAATGTAATTGCAGAGCAAAGTTAGATGTCATATATTCGTTAACTAGCTCGTTAGTCTAGTTGGATTAGTTATAAATACTGAGCAGAGCTTGCTTTTAGATCAGCCCTTCCAGACGATCTCAAAGGTTCCTCCTAGCTTGCCAGAACGGAACTCGATGTTCCACTTCGAATCTGTACTCATACTATACACATAATATTATTAGTTAACTTGTGTTAATACTTTACCATACTACACGTAATTAAACGAATAAACCCAGTTTACAATGAGATAACATCACGTGGTGGAATCACGTGTTTTGATAACAAAGCTAGAGACTAAGGGGTAAGGAGCACACTGCTTTTCGTGTGTTTTATCGACTGACCATGAGTTCCTTTTCACAAATTGTACTACTAGTCTATAGATTATCTTTTGTGGGGACCGAGGGCTTATCGTCCGAGTATAAGCGGACACTCCTGAATTAGGGGTAGACTGGTTCGTAGGGTAATGACTTGCTAGTTTGTTTGTGTGTACACATATTAAGTCTGTGCGGATTCTAGTGATAATAAAAAATTATTATAATTATTATGTAAGAATTATTATAAGAGTTATGTATATATAGAAATAATTTTCTGCAAAATGGACTAGAAGAGTAACTTACAGTTACATATTGAGGCACTTTCCTTGTCCATTAACAATGGACAGTCAAAATGTACACGCGTATCTCAGATCTCCTCGATATACGATTTTGGACTCGAGGCTTCCCCCATGTAATACGATCTTGGGAGGCAGACCTCCCGGCCTCCCCTAGTTGCAATACGAGCTCGGAAGCGGGAGCTCTACCATCGAAGTACCTATCGAGAATGACTCGGACCGAAAATTGTATAAGTCGAAATTTTTTCAAAGTTGTTCTGGATCAGAAACTACTTTTGTTCATGTTTCATGCTACCCTGATGAGCAAAAAATATTTTTCGGTCTTCTCAAGTCCGTACCTACATTCAGAAGGCTGTGGATGTGATTGGTTCCATATAATTATAAAGAACGTAATATTTGGCCCTCGGATTGAAAGGAGAATTGGCAAATTTGGTCCTCATATTTAAAGAAAAATGCGCAATTTGTCGCGGAGAACTGAAAAAATAGCGATTTGTCGCAAGGATCTGAGGAAATCGCGATTTGTCGCGGAGAATGGGAAAAATCGTGATTCCGTACTTGGCACTTGCCACGATTTCTTTTTGACCTTGGCCAGACTGGGTTAATGACTAATTCTTACCACAATTTTCCTCATCTTCTCCATTGAGACAGTCTATATCTCCATCACATCTCCAGGATGTAGATATGCACCTCTCTGGGCAAATAAACTCGTCTTCCTTGCACAACAGTGAATCAGTGGGTCCCACTATTGTGTAATCTTCTGTTATATCACGCACTGTTGTCATGCTCGCGCTAGTTACTTCTTCAGTAACTTCATTAGTAACTTCATCAGTAACTTCTTCAGTAACTTCTTCAGTAACTTCTTCAGTAACTTCTTCAGTAACTTCTTCAGTAACTTCTTCAGTAACTTCTTCAGTAACTTCTTCAGTAACTTCTTCAGTAACTTCTTCAGTAACTTCTTCAGTAACTTCTTCAGTAACTGCTTCAGTAACTTCTTCAGTAGAACTATCAGTTAATTCGTCGGTTGGCTTGCTGGTAATTTCTACTGTAAGTGTAGTTTCGATTACTTCAGTAACTTCTTCAGTTGGAGAGGTAGTAGACTGGGTGGGTGTGCCCTCCCCTGATGTTATCCTCCTCGTCACCACTCCTGGCTCTGAACTAGCACTTGTTATCACCTGGCTCGTGGCAGCGCCTATGAGACAAAAGTAATTTCACTAGAAATTATAATTTACTAGAAACTGTCACCTAAATTATCGCCCATAAAGCCAAAGGGGGAGGTGAGATTATCATCATATCCAATGTGTTAATTTATATAGGACCAATCCAGTTTATATATTGAGTATCAATTATTATAGTTGACTTCTATCATATGTATCATTAATCATATGTAGTTTTACATAAGCTAGTAGACTGAGCCGAAATCGCAATGTTTTTCACTGTTGTGACTCACCTAAAACCTCTACCTCACAAAGGGTCAAATAGTTTTGGTCCTGAGTTACCCTGACCTCACTGCCTATCAGATCAGCACAATCCACCACAAACACGTTCTTCCCAGCCACGTAGTCAACTGTTCCACAAAGACGATTGTCCACAAATACCTATAAAATATGTCATCTAGATTTTGAAGCGTCAAGATATCATAGTCGGAGTCAGCACTCACCAGAGCCCTCTCGCTTGCAGTAGCGCGCGACCGCCTAACGGTCTTTAGTCAGCACTCACAGTCTAACCGTTATTTAGTGCCCTCCAACTTTTCTATTTTTTTATTTTAAAAGTTTGATATGTTGTAAATAACAAAATGCCAACCTGTACACCCTGAATCCTGTCAGCACAGCAATCCACCCTGTTGTGAATAACGACCCTGTTAACCCTGTACTCGGCAGTGAGAGTAACGGTCCACTTGTTAGAGGAGGTTGACGCGCTGTGGGTGCAGGATCCGTCCCAGTAGTCCCCGTTGGTGCGTCCATCTGTACCTCTGCTAGCTTCACCAGACCATCCTTCACTACTCTGCCAGGACGGAGATCCTGCTTAATTATTTGTTCAGCTCTCTGCATATGTCTAGTTCTAATGTACCGCCACAATAGTGACTTTAATAATGCTCATACTGTGGCGCCTTAATGTTCACGTCAAATATCAAATATGAAATAATTCTAACTACAGAATGATAAATCTGAAAATTATGAACTTAATACAATTTAACATTTCAATCAATTAACAAATGTATTATCTATCAATGTTCATGTTACAGACCTGTAGCAATGTTAGTGAGGGGGATGTGTTGAGAAGGTGCTCCAAATACCTGCACCTCACATAACGTCAGATACTGGTCATTCTGTACTATCTTAACACTTCCTCCCACTGTTCCACCACATTGCACCTCGTATATAACCACACCGGCTTTGTAATGAACCTCTCCACAAAACACTTCGCCCACGTAAATCTTGATGGGAGTGAGATAATACTACAATACCTTAATATTATAATACTATAATACCTTAATAATATAAACTAGTTAAATGTTGAGATTTGCGGAGGTTTTATAGACAACATCTCTGAACTTCTGAATAATTCATGTTTTAGGTACTGTGCTCTGATTGGTTAGGTTGTGTCACGTGGTGTAACCACTGTGCTCTGATCGGTTAGTTTGTGTCACGTGGTGTAAATACTGTGCTCTGATTGGTGAGTTTGTGTCACGTGGTGTAAATACTGTGTTCTGATTGGTTAGTTTGTGTCACATGGTGTAAATACTGTGCTCTGATTGGTTAGTTTGTGTCACGTGGTGTAACCACTGTGCTCTGATTGGTTAGTTTGTGTCACGTGGTGTAAACACTGTGCTCTGATTGGTTAGTTTGTGTCACGTGGTGTAAATACTGTGTTCTGATTGGTTAGGTTGTGTCACGTGGTGTAACCACTGTGCTCTGATTGGTTGGTTTGTGTCACGTGGTGTAACCACTGTGCTCTGATTGGACAATATCTCCTGATAATTCATGTTTTTAGGCGTGCTAACCTTAGCTCCATTAATCCTCTCGGAACAACAATCCACCCTGTTGTGGATAACAACTTTGCTAACAGCGGAATTCTCAGCCAGAGTTGCCATCCACCAGTTGTTTTTAAACCCTTCAGAGTGCATGCAGGAGCTGAAATATTGGCAGTTATCTCAAACTCCAAGCCATTTTTATCATCAAGTTCCCACTGTGCATAGAATATAATACATCCGTTTTTTGTCAACTTTTATTGTTTATTAACAGTTCAAGTGCTAAAAATTTATTTATCAGTATTACCTACCAATCTAGAATCTAGACGAGTAGACGATGTCAACTTACCGAGCCCAGAAGTTTCCATCAGTATATCCATCAATGGCTCTTGTTGGAACTCCATTCCAGCCGATGCTGCTCTGAGTTGCAGCCACCATCTTTAGTTCTGTATCTTTAGCAATTCTTGCTGTGTAAGTGTATTGTTGGGAAACGTCAATGGAAATTAGATATCAGAGACAATTTTAACCATCTCGTATCCTACATAATTTGATTAAGCAATTGTTCCACAAAACGCAATCTTATGTTAAAAAGGAATATTACGTTGAGTCACAGCCAAATCCGTCCAAACCATGCCTTGATTTCCTCCAAGTAACCAGATGAACTCGACTTCTTCGAGAGCAAAGCCGTCTCGATAAGGGAACCTTGATCCAAGTACCTGAGATGAGCTTATAATATAAGCAAAAATACGCAAAATACGGCGTATTTAAAAAATTATCTCACGTACTTTTCAACTCTGGCTTATATTAGAGGTGCGCTGAGAGGAAACTTTTGCAATAATTTTAAATGAAAGTAAAGAGATCAAAGCTGATTAAAGGTCTATGCTTGAAGCTAGTGAAAGGCTTAGTTACTAAGTGTAGACCTCACGCGTTATGTCCATATAAGGATAATACTAACATTGCCACAATGATAGATCTCAAATTCTCCATCCAAACATTTGATATCAACTTTAAATGCTTTCCCGTTTTCAAAGGCAGGCAGTGAAGTCCTTAACTCAGTTTGCCACCCGCTTTGTGTCCTTGAGTTTAGCACAACCTTTGGAGTTAGTATTAGTGTTTCATTAAATATCCTTAATTTTGAAACTTAACTTACACTTATCAGAGGCTTTTGGATAAATAGAAAAAATAATGTTGTGTGATAAATGTCGGTGGCATTCAAATAAAGGGAACTAATACAATTTATTGTTTACACATGCTATGGTTACAGCAGTGAAATTGGCCGTATAAATGAGACTTATAAATAATTCTGTGATTCTTATATAGTACTACAGTCAAATCCGTCTTTTTGTCGGACAAAATTCGCAACAAAGCGATTTTAACGGGATATGGTCGGGACAGGTCCCAGGAATTATTCCAGAAAATTCCCAAAAAATCTGACTTGAGCAAAATCCACAATTACCACTTTTTTACCACCTTTTTACCACTTTGGTTTTCCGCAAATAAGTCACGTTCTGAATATCCTAGAAGATTCTAGTTTAAAGCAGTGTGTTTAGAAAACAAAGGAGAACAACTTTTTCTCGGACAACTTTTTCAAAAATAAATTATTTAATTAATTAATTAAATAATAAGTAAATTTTCAAATATTTCAAAAATATATTTTGATACAAAATGTTCACAATTGCATTACACGTACAATGAACTAATTTTTATAAAACTTTTGAAAATTTTCACTTTCAATATTTTGGACTTGTAAAATTTTCGAAATTTGTAAAGAATAACCACTAGTTACCACTTTTTACCACATTGGATCTCCGCTAATAAAACGACTTCTGAATGTCGTAGAAGGTTCTAGATTGAACCGATGTGTTTATAACATAAGAGAGAACAACTTTTATTCGCCAACCTTTGGATTAGATAATTAATTAATCAGTTAATCAATTATTTAACAAATATTCAAAAATTATAAAAATTATTTTCGATCACAATATTTTAAAATTGCATAACACGAATAATTAACAATTTTTCATTAAATTGATTGGGAAATCGAAGCAGCACTTTATATTACCATATATATTATATACTAGATACTTATGAGTCCTCAGCTGGCACATTGGTGCAATTGTCCTGACATTTGAGGCAGGTTGATCCACAATTTATTCCTGCTTTTCTGCATGAACAAGCATTGCCACAACCTGACTTTAAACAGTTGCAACTGATGTTTTGAATGAGCTTTTTCGGAGCTGTACTCATAAGAGTGGTCACTGGTACATGTGCTCCATTGTTCATCTTCCATCCCCAGCTTATCGGATCTAGGTCATTCTCATCCCACGCCTACAGCTGATGGTAAACACGATAAGAATGTTGTTCAACTGCCCCAGATGTTGGCGGGAGCTGTTTGCACTTGATGTCTGCTGTTGAAGATTGCGACTTCTGTTCAAGAACTGAAAGTCTGGCTTCATCTAGTGATCTCGATTTTTATGAAATCAGCTGCAGCATCAAAAGTTCTCCGACATGCTTTATGGTAGCTGGTGTAGAATTTGCCGAATAAAAAGCATCTATCACACTTTCATCGATAGATGCGATAGTTCTGAATAGCCGATCCTTACCAACTTCAGCTCATGAAGTATTTCCTGAAACTAAGTTTCAATCCATCGCGATATTTTGTACTATTATAATATAGAAGTATGTATCTTATGAAGCCATTTAAAATCGGTCTATACCTCTCTCGTTACTACAGCACGCTCCAATGCAGGTTTAGTTGGGGATCGACGTGTCATATTTTTTCTGCACTTCGCGTGTAGACTGTAGATAGTCACCAACTTTGAAATCTGTGTCACTTGGTAAGTGCAACAATACTGCTGCAATCCCCTGGATAAGTAATGTTTCAAATCGGTATTATAGCAGCAACGTGGTCGTTAAATAACATTTAAAAATCAAAATATCCTCCAAGTTTAGGGGGAGTGGTGGTGCCGTGAGTTAATACACATACGTTGAGTCTTGTAATCAACATAATCGTGTTTGCGAACATGCTGTAAACTGCACATTGCAAATTGCAATAGGCCATTCCATTCGGAATATGATCTGAATTCTGAAAAGATGGCGCGAAACAGACTGAAAATGACGAAGTCATCAAGCAATTTGTTTATCTCGTTTGCGAAATTGATTGGGTAATCAATGATTACCTAATCGCTAATCATGCGACAGGGTGCTACGATACCGTAATTGGGCTGTCTGCACGATCCCTATAGTGATAATCCAGTGCACTAAGCTACGGAGAAACAATACCCTAACGTATGCACTCCTACTAAAGGCCCTTTGGGTATGAAATTAATCTAAATCAGTGTATTTTTGGACATTCCGAATCGCCCCAAGACGTAGGGTAAAAATGCCTAACGTATGTGTACTATACCACCTCCCCCCTCCCCCCACACAATAACTTACCCTGCCTGTAACCCGACTTGAGGATTTATCATTTGGTGCGATCTCTAGGTTACAGAATGGACATATGTTTAAACTGTGTTCGTGAACTAAAGATGGTTCTGCCTCAGTTACAACGGACTCATCTTCATTGGCCGATAAGAATCTTTGGAACTGGTCTATGGTCACTGTTTGCAATAACACACAATAGACGTCACTCTGAGCGTAATCGGTCAGGCCGTTGTACTTCCGTTTAATTTCGTTTAGTCACCAGGGGTTGTTGATCCAACCTGTGTTACGATGGTTTGTTTATTTATACAGAGTATGAGAGGCCTCAGGATAATGAATAGGACTGTAACCATCCGTTTCAAACTTGCTGGGCATAGTTTAAAAGTTAGTGCACTTACTAAAAGATAATTAGTTAAAATAGTACCTGGGGACAACAACCCTTTCCATATTTCATTCCATACAAATGTACTTTGTCGATCATTCGCCTTCTTAAAGCTATTCATCGGAATTAACTCCTCATTTGCCTGGTAAATTAAAACATTGTATTGGTTAAGAATGCCTCTAGTCGCGCTCTCCGCTGACATCAAACTTAAAAGTAAAACGGTAAGAACATATTACTATTATTGTATATTAGTTGACAGTTACTTACAAAGAATCTGCACGCGTATAGTATCAGGCACACGATGTGTTCTTCTGTTTTCAAAATGTCAACTATTTCGAGTGATGTCAGTCCTCGATTCTTGGCAGATTCAACTTTTTTACGAATAGAAGTCAACATAAAGCAAAAGCTGAAGCTTACACTTCCAAACGATAAACTGACAATCAGAGATAAGATCGCAGGATTCAGTTCTCTTGTTTAAACAAACCAGTTCAACAATCTAGTTAAGCACAATACTAAGTCGATAGATATATTGTGTAAATAGTTATTAGCTATAGCATCGTACAAATTTGGATATTCGACCGTTTATTCAATTTATCTGGATCTCTTTTTATCTGTTATCTAATCTATGTGACGGTGTTTGTTCTATCATTCAAGTAACTGTAAATTCATTTTACGTCACGGCAAAGATTTTTGGTAGAAATTATATTTTTGAAATTTTAAAAAATTTACTTATTATCTAATTAATTAATTAATTAATTATCTAATCTAAAGGTTGGCGGATAAAAGTTGTTCTCTCTTATGTTTTGAACACATCGGTTCAATCTAGAACCTTCTACGACATTCAGAAGTCGTTTTATTAGCGGAGATCCAATGTGGTAAAAAGTGGTAACTAGTGGTTATTCTTTACAAATTTCGAAAATTTTACAAGTCCAAAATATTGAAAGTGAAAATTTTCAAAAGTTTTATAAAAATTAGTTCATTGTACGTGTAATGCAATTGTGAACATTTTGTATCAAAATATATTTTTGAAATATTTGAAAATTTACTAATTATTTAATTAATTAATTAAATAATTTATTTTTGAAAAAGTTGTCCGAGAAAAAGTTGTTCTCCTTTGTTTTCTAAACACACTGCTTTAAACTAGAATCTTCTAGGATATTCAGAACGTGACTTATTTGCGGAAAACCAAAGTGGTAAAAAGGTGGTAAAAAAGTGGTAATTGTGGATTTTGCTCAAGTCAGATTTTTTGGGAATTTTCTGGAATGATTCCTGGGACCTGTCCCGACCATATCCCGTTAAAATCGCTTTGTTGCGAATTTTGTCCGACAAAGGCTTAAATAAGGACGGATTTGACTGTACTAATAGACCTAGAATATGAATTCGAATGGATTGTAAATAAAAATTGCTGGTCTGACTCATAATATGGATAAGTTATCAGAGGGTTCGTGTTACGCCACTGTTCGTGTTACGCCACTGTTCGTGTTACGCCACCGTTACCATGGTTACCGATTAAAATATCCTATTTTAGATAATACTTGTAGCGCGATGCACTACTGGGTCGCGCGCGCATCAAATAATGCTTCTCTCTTCGGTAGATCGGCGAGATGCACCACTGTGCCTCACCGAGCTGCGAAGGATTGACATCGTGAATCAAAGATAATACGTACTTTGTTTTCACTGGGAGGTGGTCTGAAATCAACATGAATCATGAAATCCTGTCCGTTTTCCATCATTAAGTTTACATTGAATTTAGAGGAACCAGTTGCATAAATACCCCATGCTGAAAGATGAAAGATCAGTATTTCTAAAATAATATGCTCATTTTCATTTGTCCGTTTATCACAATGCTGGCAAGCATTACCGTCGCCCTTATATTCACAATACTATTTACCCCCTATATTAGGCAGTGCGCCATCGACAATAAGACGCGCGCGCTGACCATTGAATGGTTTTTAGCTCTTATTTCGGCCAGCACATTATTTTGGAAACAATCGAAAAGTTATAATACTTCCCATATAACAATTTTGTTGAAATTTGGTCAGCTTACGCGTAAACACTTATGTTCTACTGAACCTAATTTAGTTTGAGCAATTTCGATGCTCAGAATTTGAGTTATCAACGAATTTATACCTATTTTGTCATTTTTAGACCTCTTAGTCAAGGCCAATCTCTCCCAACTAAATTAGGTTCGGTAGTTAAGTATGATTGGAAGGTTCTGACAAATTTTCAGCATGATTCATGTTCAGGAACCGAAGATATGACAGAATAATACGACAAAAATCAACGAATTTCGTCAAATTACGCGACTTTTACACTTGTAGCGCGATGCACTACTGGGTCGCGCGCGCATCAAATAATGCTTCTCGCAACCGCCTTCGGTAGATCGGCGAGATGCACCACTGTGCCTCACCGAGCTGCGAAGGATTGACATCGTGAATCAACTTTTACACCTAATTTTGCTCCAAAAGCCGCGCACCATCAAATATGGCACCTAGGCAAAACTCACTGATCATTCCAAAAAGGTATGATAAATTTGGTACTGTGAAAATTCTCACAGTCTCTAGAAAACGATGGTACAAAAATTTTGAAAATCCGAGCAAGTTTATTTTTTATCGTGCACCGCCTACCTATATTAGTATATCCCCTTTATTGTTTTCCAGGCATTAAGACTCATCGAAAGTAGTTCAGCAGGTATATTTAAGTTCAAAACATTCTAATTCAATGTTAAAGATGACAGGAATAAGAAATAGTTATGTGGAGGTTTTTAAGAAATTTGCGCAAAATACGCGCCAGCATGTTATACGAAATTAGGTAAAAAACCCAAAATCGCCATATTCAGGTGCCTTAAAAACCATGTTAAAATTGAGTTAGAGATCTGAAACTTTGCAGGGCGTCTTGACCTTGTCCAAATCGACTGTAAAAAAAATTTCACGTTTCAGGAGTATCGGGAAGTGGGTTTTCTGGAACCCCTGTTTTACAACAGATTGTCGTGAAGTATATATATATACTTCACGATATATATATATATATATATATAGACGCTTTTGCAGTCAATTATAGCCTACATTTAAGTGTCCGTAGATTCAAAAGTATAAAAGATACAGTCATTTCGAACCACAGGTTTTAAAGATAATTGTTTATACTTTAGTTTACATTATATCAAAAAATAATTTATCTTCATCATCATCACTTGATGACGTCATCAAATTAAGTGTTTTTAAAACTTGATTTTTGACAAAGTAATAACTTTTCAAATCGATTTTAAACCATTAAGGAGTAATTTTATTCAAAATCTGAGGACATTTTTACCTTAGATGATTGTTTAAGAATTCTGAAAATCTACCGGAAAAGTTTCTTACTTTGCTCCTTCATAAAGATATTTGCTATTGAAGTAAGTGCTTTTTTGAAGAATAATTTTATAAAAACACAAAAGTTGTGAATTAGTATTCTCTGGTGTTGGGCCATCCCTTGGGTTGTGGAGCTCAATTTTGCTTTTTAAAGGTCCAAATTGTGTTATAGGCTAGTTTTAAAGTTGAAAATCGAAAAGTTGCACACGAGGGGACACGCCCAAATTGATAGAAAATTGCTAAAATTACTGAAAATTGCTGTTTTCACCATTTTTATCAACTTTGGAGTCCCGTTGTGATCCAAGTTCTATATCAAATCTTCTGAAACTTTGCATGCTTATTAAACTATATATTAAATACTTCTATGCAAAAATTTACGGTGATTCAATATTGTATGCGCACGCAACGTCCGCTCAAAGTTTGCACGTGTGAAAGGTGAGAATTTTGCTCATTCGTGATTTCGAATAAATTCTGCTTTCCCACGATATTTAAATGGCATTATATATGAATTTAATGCTAACTTGAATGAGTAAAAAGTGCCATATCCAGTCAGGTAAAATTTCGAAATCGATGAAATTACCTCCTAATTATTAATATAAATAATAATGAAGTTATGAGTTTACATTTCGGCTTTGTAAATTATCCTGACATAATTATAATCAAAAAGAGATGATATTTGACCAAAACCCATAATCATGGGTAGAGTGTACCGCTGCCAGTGTCTCTCTTTTCCAAAGAAAAGGAAATGATATTAATTTGAATAACCGTCCGCAAATGCAAATTGGTACCGAGAATGAAATCGGTCGCTTGCTTTTTCCATTCAATAAGCTTTATTACAATTCGTAAGCCGTGATCGAATGGAAAAAGCGAGCGACCGATTTCATTCTCGGTACCAATTTGCATTTGCGGACGGTTATTCAAATTAATATCATTTCCTTTTCTTTGGAAAAGAGAGACACTGGCAGCGGTACACTCTACCCATGATTATGGGTTTTGGTCAAATAGTTTATACAAATTAAGTTATAATTTTGAAGAGTCGGATTATCGACTTTTAAGTATATAATATTGATTACTTAATGAGTAATACTATTTTAGGGTCATGTTAGCCAGGTGCCGCGCACTGACCAGTAATGGTATCTCCTATCACCAGGGGTGTATCAAGATAGTTCCTGTCTCCAGTGAACGTAGCGTAAGGAACACCTTGTCCTGGTAGCTGTGGAGATGGAAGTCTCAGAGCCGTCCATTTGAATCCGTTACTCCCTCCGTGTAGTGTAACTGAAGTTATTGTTTAAGTGATTATCATTAATGAAATTGCAAAATTACTATCGAAATTTTAGATAAATGTTGAAAAATGCACCATATTAGGTTCATTAATACCGTTTTTGTGTGTGGTACTAGTGGTAAAATAATGTTAACAGCTGCATAATAGTTTCTGTGCTAGATTTTATTATAACAAATATCGACATGTTGCTCGTCAATATAAAACTAAATTTACCACAGCTGTAAGTCAACTTGGTTCTCACTAAATTCACCACAGCTGTAAGGCAACTTGGTTCTCACTAAATTCACCAAAACTTTAACCCACCTAGCGTGGCAGTGCTGGGATCTACTCGGTGAGGGAACCTACTGCTCAACTCATTCCCGTTGAAAAAGATCCTATACCCTTCCTCGTGTACTTCAATCCTTACTTCAAACATCTTCTCTGCAGCAAAGTTGTACTTGCTAAACCCCGGCCTGATACATGAAATGCATTACAACAACTTTTTCCTAGACTTCCAAACTTTGCCTTTCATTGGTCAAAGTGGTTATCATCGGGAACAAGCTTAACGAAATATTCTGGAAGCGTTATATTTGATATATCCATGACACAATTTAAACATTTTGTACACATCTTTAGTCTTTACTCTATCATCTTGAAGTGTTGAAATGATAAAATACAATGAATTAGCAATAGACCCACCTGACCTCAGTTTTCCATCCCTCCACATAGTTGTTCAGAACTACCACATTGTTAAAAGGTCTAAAGTCAACATGAAGAAGGTACACTGAGTTTGGTCCCATGATGTTCACACTAAAAAGACAGAAACATGGATTAGAACTTTCAGATAACTGGTTATGGGAAAGTTCGATTATTGCAACTCCTAGAGTGGACCTGTTTATACAAACTGTGGCTTTATTTTCACCTGAATTTGGATGTGGTGTGATCTTTGTAGACGCCCCAAGCTCTAACAGTGTCTCCAACTTCTAATGGCTTGTTCAGTTCGTAATCAATATTCTTTTGGGCGTTAAATATGTGGCCACCTGTAAGACGGAATTTTACGATTATATTATTTCTACATATTAAGTAATGGTGTTCAAAGTATATAAGTAACCTCTGCAATTCACAAAAACAGGATAAACAGGATTACACACACATCTAGTAGTAGTAATTTGAGTGCGGAAGCTTTTGTCAAACATCAGAAACGAAATAGGGTCATAGCACAGACAAGGCTGGTCGGTCGGAGGTCGGTCGGAGGTCAGTCGGGCGCCGGTCGGCGGTAGGTGAACGCCGGTCGGAGGTTGGTCGGAGGTTGGTTGAAGGTTGGTCGGAGGTTGGTCGGGGGTCGATCGGGCGCCGGTCGGGCGCCGGTCGGGCGCCGGTCGGAGGTCACTCGGAAATCACTCGGAAGTCGGTCGGAGGTCGGTCGGAGGTCGGTCGGAGGTCGGTCGGAGGTCGGTCGGAGGTAGGTCGGAGGACGGAGGTCGGTCGGGGGCCTTGTATGTGCTATGACCCGTTCTTGTTCCAAGTTCCTAGAAGTAAATATTTCCATTACCTGACACACCGATTCCTAGGATTATTAGTATTTTCAATGTCCTTAGAAACATCAAACATGATAACTTAGAACATGATAACTTTCTAATTTACTGTATACTCACTTGTGAGAGGGACCTCAGTGGGGTCAGAAGTGGGGTCAGAAGTGTGGTCAAAAGTCTGGAGTGCTGGTGTCTGGGAGGTCGCAGTAGTCTCAATTAGAACTGATTCCAAATCAAGAGCTGAAGGTTTATTTGAACTGAGTTTGACCGCTACTTTCAGTATGATCATTAACTAATCGTTAGATGTAGCTTTCAAATTCATCATCTTTAATCTTTCAATTCATGAATTCATAACGAAATAACCAACCTGTGTCAGAATCAGCATGGCTGTACTTTAACAAGGTTTAAACACCACATAACACATCAACAAGGTTTAAACACCACATAACACATGAACAAGGTTTAAACACCACATAACACATCAACAAGGTTTAAACACCACATAACACATCAACAAGGTTTAAACACCACATAACACATCAACAAGGTTTAAACACCACATAACACATCAACAAGGTTTAAACACCACATAACACATCAACAAGGTTTAAACACCACATAACACATCAACAAGGTTTAAACACCACATAACACATCAACAAGGTTTAAACACCACATTTTTTTTTTTATTTCAAAATTCAAATAAACTTTACATCAATGTATTACAGTTATATTCAATAAAAAGACCACAATATCTCCTGTGAAGCAAAAACATGGAAAAAGAGAGCTAGAAAAATATTCATGATACTCAACACTACCAGACTCAGCTGGAGTGAGAAACAATATGTAAAAACATCAAGGTAAAATTTATTTCGGCTGAACCAAAACACGGTGGTAAGACCATAATAACATTGGTGCCGACCCTACATAAAATCATTAATAAATAATCAAGAGAACAAATTTAAATGTATACGATACCTTCTTGCTACTACTCCACAAACTTACACGACATAACAACAAAATAACATAATTAAATAATATTATAATAAAACAATCTATAATCTAGCCACTCACGTACTGCGTGACGCGCTTGTTTCGGGTTGTTTCATAAGAGAAAAAACGGCGCGTTCTACTGCAGGTGCGAGGGGCAAATTATAGAGAGTATGACATTCATAAAGTAAAATATATATATAATAATATTCCATGATGGGCCGTCTAATCAGGCCAGCATACGTCAGAAGACCAGAGAAATTCAGTTAGCTTTGTTTTGAAAATAGAAATTTTCTCAGTCTGTCTAACATAGGCTGGCAGTGCATTCCACAGAGGCATTGTTCTATAAAAGAAGCTGTTTCTGAAACTATCGCAGTTTGGTACAATAGAGCAGGTATATGTGCTGGTGTCAAGTCCTTCAATGACTGATGCCGTGCTCCTTGTGTACCTCATTGTTCCAGCTTCAACAACAGTAATATATTCAGGTAGAGATATACTTACCAAATCATTTACTATTTTATAGAAGAGCGTAATTGAATTATGGATGAACTTAGATCTAATGGGTAGAATTTTAAGCTCCTTCTGCTTCTCATAAAATACAATATCACTATAATGATCAAACTGTTGTCCATTGATCCATTTGATCGCTCTTTTCTGGATTGCCTCAAACTTCGACATGTGTGTCGATCGCTGAGGACACCATATAACTGAGCAATGTTCAAAGATTGATCTTACAATGGTAAGGTAGAAAGCCCTCTTTTGGCGTTTATTCATGGTAAAATGACAGGTTCTCTTTAAGAGCCCAAGCTTCGAGCTTGCTTTAGATATCAATTGATCACAATGTGCACCCCACAGAAACCTGTTGTTCATTATTACACCAAGATCTGTATGGGATGCCACATAATCAATTATGACTTCATTAAGATTATACCACTGATATCTGGATATTATCCGGTTGGAAGAGACAAGGACAAGTGAAACAAGGAAGTTAGGAGTAAGGGCAAATTTTCGGCGTCAACGCCATCTTCAGGCTCAAATTATTTGTTATATAGTAGTGTTGAAAGTATTAAAACTAACTCCTAACTTCCTTGTTTCACTTGTCCTTGTCTCTTCCAACCGGATAATATCCAGATATCAGTATTTCAATCATGAGACTAATAAACAGCGAACTACTCCGTTATTTAAGATTATACCAATAAATATTAAAAGGAAGATTGTCTAATACATTTCTTTGCAGAGTTACAGATAACACCTTACACTTTGAAGGGTGAAAAGTCATTTTGTTATCGATTGACCAGGCAAACAACCTGTCTATATCTCCTTGAAGAATATAGTGGTCTTCAAAGCATTCGATGACCCTCCAAATTTTGGTGTCATCTGCATACAATGCTTCATTTGTATCCTCCGAGACACACGAGAACATGTCGTTGATGAATAGAACAAACAGAAGTGGTCCCAGAATAGATCCCTGGGGCACTCCTGATTGCACGGGAAGCATGCTTGAGACAGCTCCGCCTACAACAACCTGCTGTCGTCTGTCTTGTAGATACGACTTTAAAAATCTAAGCATCAGACCATCAATACCATATAAATTTTTTAGCTTGCGAAGGATTAAGTCATGTGAGACACTGTCAAATGCCTTAGCGAAATCAAAATAAACAATGTCGGATCTTGACTTATTGTTCAGGGCCAGTGCAAGGTTTTCTGTGAATGGGACCATCTGGGTAGTGCAAGACTTCCCATTCACAAAACCGTGTTGTCTACAGTCGATTAACCCTTCACAAGCTGCGAGCAACTCTTTCGAAATACAACGTTCAAAAACTTTCATAACTAAGCATGTCAGTGAGATGGGTCTGTAATTTTCAACAGATCCTTTTTCACCCTTCTTGTGTACCGGGACAACAGAAGCAAGCTTCCATTCCTCCGGCACACATCCAGTCACAAAAGAGCTGTTGAAAATCATGGTTAGAGGCTTTGCAAGAGTGCTCGCACAATTTTTAACACAGTGCCATGGATACCATCTGGACCTGCGGCTTTACCCGGTTTAACCCCTTTCAAAATTAACAAAACATCCAACACGTGAAATCTCAAATCCATAAAATTGTTACTGGAGCTCATGTCGATGTCAATGTCATATGAGCTACTTGAGGAGAATTGTTGATAGAAGTATTCATTGAATAAGTTAGCCTGTTCAACTGTTGTGTTCCTAAAACGATCACCGTATCGGACCGTTTCAGGTATCCTAGTCGACTTAGACTTTGATTTCACGTGTGTCCAAAACTTTTTGGAAATAAGGGCAGAATCAGAATCATCTTCGACACTGAGTCTCATCTTTTCGTTCATTATGCGTTTAAAATCTTTGCGGTACTGACGGAACATAACACATCAACAAGGTTTAAACACCACATAACACATCAACAAGGTTTAAACACCACATAACACATCAACAAGGTTTAAACACCACATAACACATCAACAAGGTTTAAACACCACATAACACATCAACAAGGTTTAAACACCACATAACACATCAACAAGGTTTAAACACCACATAACACATCAACAAGGTTTAAACACCACATAACACATCAACAAGGTTTAAACACCACATAACACATCAACAAGGTTTAAACACCACATAACACATCAACAAGGTTTAAACACCACATAACACATCAACAAGGTTTAAACACCACATAACACATCAACAAGGTTTAAACACCACATAACACATCAACAAGGTTTAAACACCACATAACACATCAACAAGGTTTAAACACCACATAACACATCAACAAGGTTTAAACACCACATAACACATCAACAAGGTTTAAACACCACATAACACATCAACAAGGTTTAAACACCACATAACACATCAACAAGGTTTAAACACCACATAACACATCAACAAGGTTTAAACACCACATAACACATCAACAAGGTTTAAACACCACATAACACATCAACAAGGTTTAAACACCACATAACACATCAACAAGGTTTAAACACCACATAACACATCAACAAGGTTTAAACACCACATAACACATCAACAAGGTTTAAACACCACATAACACATCAACAAGGTTTAAACACCACATAACACATCAACAAGGTTTAAACACCACATAACACATCAACAAGGTTTAAACACCACATAACACATCAACAAGGTTTAAACACCACATAACACATCAACAAGGTTTAAACACCACATAACACATCAACAAGGTTTAAACACCACATAACACATCAACAAGGTTTAAACACCACATAACACATCAACAAGGTTTAAACACCACATAACACATCAACAAGGTTTAAACACCACATAACACATCAACAAGGTTTAAACACCACATAACACATCAACAAGGTTTAAACACCACATAACACATCAACAAGGTTTAAACACCACATAACACATCAACAAGGTTTAAACACCACATAACACATCAACAAGGTTTAAACACCACATAACACATCAACAAGGTTTAAACACCACATAACACATCAACAAGGTTTAAACACCACATAACACATCAACAAGGTTTAAACACCACATAACACATCAACAAGGTTTAAACACCACATAACACATCAACAAGGTTTAAACACCACATAACACATCAACAAGGTTTAAACACCACATAACACATCAACAAGGTTTAAACACCACATAACACATCAACAAGGTTTAAACACCACATAACACATCAACAAGGTTTAAACACCACATAACACATCAACAAGGTTTAAACACCACATAACACATCAACAAGGTTTAAACACCACATAACACATCAACAAGGTTTAAACACCACATAACACATCAACAAGGTTTAAACACCACATAACACATCAACAAGGTTTAAACACCACATAACACATCAACAAGGTTTAAACACCACATAACACATCAACAAGGTTTAAACACCACATAACACATCAACAAGGTTTAAACACCACATAACACATCAACAAGGTTTAAACACCACATAACACATCAACAAGGTTTAAACACCACATAACACATCAACAAGGTTTAAACACCACATAACACATCAACAAGGTTTAAACACCACATAACACATCAACAAGGTTTAAACACCACATAACACATCAACAAGGTTTAAACACCACATAACACATCAACAAGGTTTAAACACCACATAACACATCAACAAGGTTTAAACACCACATAACACATCAACAAGGTTTAAACACCACATAACACATCAACAAGGTTTAAACACCACATAACACATCAACAAGGTTTAAACACCACATAACACATCAACAAGGTTTAAACACCACATAACACATCAACAAGGTTTAAACACCACATAACACATCAACAAGGTTTAAACACCACATAACACATCAACAAGGTTTAAACACCACATAACACATCAACAAGGTTTAAACACCACATAACACATCAACAAGGTTTAAACACCACATAACACATCAACAAGGTTTAAACACCACATAACACATCAACAAGGTTTAAACACCACATAACACATCAACAAGGTTTAAACACCACATAACACATCAACAAGGTTTAAACACCACATAACACATCAACAAGGTTTAAACACCACATAACACATCAACAAGGTTTAAACACCACATAACACATCAACAAGGTTTAAACACCACATAACACATCAACAAGGTTTAAACACCACATAACACATCAACAAGGTTTAAACACCACATAACACATCAACAAGGTTTAAACACCACATAACACATCAACAAGGTTTAAACACCACATAACACATCAACAAGGTTTAAACACCACATAACACATCAACAAGGTTTAAACACCACATAACACATCAACAAGGTTTAAACACCACATAACACATCAACAAGGTTTAAACACCACATAACACATCAACAAGGTTTAAACACCACATAACACATCAACAAGGTTTAAACACCACATAACACATCAACAAGGTTTAAACACCACATAACACATCAACAAGGTTTAAACACCACATAACACATCAACAAGGTTTAAACACCACATAACACATCAACAAGGTTTAAACACCACATAACACATCAACAAGGTTTAAACACCACATAACACATCAACAAGGTTTAAACACCACATAACAAATCAACAAGGTTTAAACACCACATAACACATCAACAAGGTTTAAACACCACATAACACATCAACAAGGTTTAAACACCACATAACACATACCACATCAACAAGGTTTAACACCACATAACACATCAACAAGGTTTAAACACCACATAACACATCAACAAGGTTTAAACACCACATAACACATCAACAAGGTTTAAACACCACATAACACATGAACAAGGTTTAAACACCACATAACACATCAACAAGGTTTAAACACCACATAACAAATCAACAAGGTTTAAACACCTCATAACCCATCAACAAGGTTTAAACACCACATAACACATCAACAAGGTTTAAACACCACATAACACATCAACAAGGTTTAAACACCACATAACGCATCAACAAGGTTTAAACACCACATAACGCATCAACAAGGTTTAAACACCACATAACACATCAACAAGGTTTAAACACCACATAACACATGAACAAGGTTTAAACAACACATAACACATGAACAAAGTTTAAACAACACATAACATATGAACAAGGTTTAAACACCACATAACACATCAACAAGGTTTAAACACCACATAACACATGAACAAGGTTTAAACACCACATAACACATCAACAAGGTTTAAACACCACATAACACATCAACAAGGTTTAAACAACACATAACACATCAACAAGGTTTAAACACCACATAACACATCAACAAGGTTTAAACACCACATAACACATCAACAAGGTTTAAACACCACATAACACATGAACAAAGTTTAAACAACACATAACATATGAACAAGGTTTAAACACCACATAACACATCAACAAGGTTTAAACACCACATAACACATCAACAAGGTTTAAACACCACATAACACATCAACAAGGTTTAAACACCACATAACACATCAACAAGGTTTAAACACCACATAACACATCAACAAGGTTTAACCACCACATAACACATCAACAAGGTTTAAACACCACATAACACATCAACAAGGTTTAAACACCACATAACACATCAACAAGGTTTAAACACCACATAACACATCAACAATGTTTAAACACCACATAACACATCAACAAGGTTTAAACACCACATAACACATCAACAAGGTTTAAACACCACATAACACATCAACAAGGTTTAAACACCACATAACACATCAACAAGGTTTAAACACCACATAACACATCAACAAGGTTTAAACACCACTCACCGCTGACTTGTCTAACAGATGAGACCATATCATTGTATCTGCTATCAACCCAAGTCCAATCAATAGGCCCTTTAGCAGTAAACAGAAGACCCTCAAAGTTAGGTTCATCATAGAACTCCCATACTTCGTTTCCGTCGATTTTATACCGAGATACAGTGTTGTCGAATCCTCTCTGTGCTAGATCCTCTGTAGCACCAGCAATTGCCAAAGTGGCATCTCCTGATTGCCGGGATGTGTAGTGACGTCCCAGTGTCAGAGTACCTGAGGTAACGTCAGTCTTATCGCTGTCTAGTCTCTAGCTCCGGGTCAATATTAGAAAAACCTTAATTGTTCATTGATAAACGTAAGGGAGCTGAATGGTTGAATTTGAACTGAGTTTGACCGCTACTTTCAGTATGATCATTAACTAATCGTTAGATATAACTTTCAAATTCATCATTTTTAATCTTTCAATTCATGAATTCATAACGAAATAACCAACCTGTGTCGGAATCAGTATGGCTGTGCTTTACCGTGGGTTCGACGGTTTTCGGTTAATAAAAGTAGCACCAAAATCTTGAAACATGAGTCATAAAGAAGTGAGTATAAAGAACTCAAGAAGTGAGGACTGATTTTTGGTATAGAGCTATCTAGCGCTAGAAATAATTGGTTACCTTCATCATCACTTGAGATAGCCATCCAGGAGATTTCACTGGAGGGACTGTCCTTGAGGTTGACTCCTCTTCGAAGAGTGAACTTTTTGGATATGGTCTCGTATGTGATACCTCCACAATCTAGTAGAAGGTGGCATTTAAGGTGAATTGATATTTTACCAGAGATTCTGTATATCTTTTGTATATTAAATTTTGCAAGATAACCAATTAATTTTCTAATTTATCATCAAATTAACTGCAAGTTTAAACTGACCGGATCGTTTGAGACATTCGCTCTGAGCCTCCAGAAGACTGTCGTATTTGGCGGTTCCTGCGCTGTAGCCGCTCAGATATTTACCAGCGTTCTTGCTCCAAGTTCCTGGAAGTAAATATTTCCATTACCTGGCACACCGATTCCTAGTTTTATTAGTATTTTCGATGTCCAATTGCAATTTCTATCATTGGACTTGATTATATTTACATTTTTACTGTATAAAAGTATAAAACGAATTCCAGAAAACTCGATATTATCGGATTTTTAGGATTTCTGTCCGTGTCAAATACACACGCCCACGTGTTATACACACGCCCACGTGTTATACACACGCCCACGTGTCAAATACACACGCCCACGTGTTATACACACGCCCACCTACAATTTCATACAAACATTTACTAACCTGTGTCCGAATCAGCATGGCTGGGCTTTACCGTGAGTACGACGGTTAATAAAACTAGCAACAACATCTTGAAACATGAGTCATAAAGAAGTGAGTAATGTCCCTTCATCCTTATCAGCACTCCGTTATCTGACCTGCAAAATATAATAGGTTTTAATTTGATTACGAAATTTAAGATAATGTTTGATTACAAAATTTAAAATAATGTTATTATTATTGGGGACCCGCTGTAGAATCTTAATATAATATACTCACTGCACTTTTTTGCAACGAGGCCAAAGCACAAGTACAGCACAGTTGTCAGTGCTGAGTTTTGAAAAACACGTCTGTGGACCACTGTTAGATAAAAATACAGTTCTTCAGATAAACTGAAGGACCTGTTCCTTGATAACTGCTTTATTAGAGAAATAATCAAATTATGTTTTATCGCAGTGTGGTAATTTGGTAATTTTATAATGTAAATCCAAAATTTACCATCAATATGCACAAACTCATCACCTATGTAGGTTAAAAATCCCCTTATATTCAAGTTAGCACTTTTTGAGCTCCAGTTTCAATTTATATTATATATAACATATTTAATCTACACGGAAACCAGTTCATCCATAAACTGATAAGGTTAAGGTCGTACTATACGTACTGGCATACGGCCAGACATGTTTTTAATACCTACGTAATATATACCGGTGGAAATTTTCAGATTTAAACTTTCCACGACCCAAACTTCACTGTTTTGATTAAATTTTTTTTAATGACCATCTAGCAAGGTCGCTGACCATGGCACAAGACACGATTGAGGCACTGAAAGTTTTATTCCCAAAAAAAGCTTTGATAAACGGAAAATCATCAGAATAGAAGAAGAGATTTTTGAAGCTTTTTGAAAAGAAGCCTTTCTGCCGTCTCATCAATGAGGTCACCAGGTCGGTGAGAGTGACTCAAGTCGCCATCAAGTTACTGGAAGCTGTATATCCGGAGAAACCTTTGATGCAATGAAATTTTTGAAAATGTCCTAATAGGACATTTTCAGCTTTCCGCGACTAAAATTTCGCTGTTTTGACTGAAACTATCTAGCACGGCGCTATCTTTATTTCTTACATATCCCTAAGACAATTGAGCAATAGATAAGCAAGTTAGGCAAACCACAAGTTGGTGCTTAGCTTCAAACTCTGTTGCAACACAATTGAAGAAAATACGGAGATAGCTGTTGCCATCGCGCTCCCTTTCTCACTGCCTCTCTTTCTCACTGCCTTCCTTTCTCACTGCCTTCCTTTCTCACTGCATGGTTGTATGGTACGACGTAGTTATTGTTGTTTGTTGAAGCACGGAAAGGAACTCAGACTGCACCGAGACTACAAAACCCGTTGGAGCTCGCTGTGCAGTATGTTGAATGTTGGTGAGATATGACCGGATATCTGATACAGTGCACGGAATTTTAGATGACTTGGAGCTAGGCAATCTAAAACTGGATGCAGGAGAGACTAAGTTAGCCTAAAAAGTAAAAACATGTAACTGAGTTTTTGTGTAAAAGAGACAGCATGTTCGCTCAAGCAAAAGTGATTATTTAGTTTATTGACAGTTAGCTCGGGAAAATGGGTGAAACTTAATCCTTGTCATGTCCACCTGTAGGTTCCACCAGGATCTCTGATTTATAACGTTCATTAGTATAGTAGTATAGTGACACTCGAAAACCACGAACTTTAGTAGGTAAATCGTCCGATAGTTAGTGAGAAGAGGAGCAATTGGTTTACAATAGCTCAAAGCTATTAAAATAAGCCCGAAGTGATTCGACTTCGAATGAAATCTACTGGAAATCCACTTCTACTGGAAATCCTACTGGAAATCCATTCATCACGGCCGTGAATCAAGATAGGATTTCTATCGTGGGAATAGCTACAGATGTATGGAACTATGATCATTATGAGAAACCCCAGCACCGGTAATATCCGGCAGTTTTTACATTTACGAGCCGACTAGCTCCTAGTCCTAGACAGCTACTGACAGCCTGGCTCACTCAAATTTGAACTGTGACCCGTCAAAATTCCACGGTAAATTGGGGTTTTAATGTAGTAACCAGATTCATTATAAATAACATTTATGTCATGATAATCAATATGCCCATCAGCTGGTTAGGTTAGCGTGTAAAAAATATGCAATAAATTGTAGGTATGCTGACCAGGCTCACGGAGCTAGCTCTATGAGGCTGGTCAATAAACCAGCAGGACAATAAGAAAATGTAAAACGTGCCCCGTCAATAGGTCTCAGCAAACCTTAACATTAGTTGAAATATTCTCCTTTGCATCGCGATGCTATTGTTAACGAAGAAACTTACAAGTGTGTATAACAGAATAACTTGATGAACGTGTGTACTGTGTACTTCACACCACTTTATATTTGCCGTACAGATGCCAATTATGGATTGCTTCCCCTGGTTTAAAGTCCTGACTGAAGATTGATTAAAAATGGAATTGTCAACTATAAAAACGATACAAGTTTTATAAAACGATAAACAGGCAACTAAGAACAGGTCACTGTAGAACACTTATTATTGAACGTATGATAGATTACAACTGATACTACAGCGGTGGATCTAAATGTCACCTGGTCAAACCCGGGGTGGACTCTTTACATTAAGCGTCTTAACGGCTCCTGACACATGGTAGAACCTAGTTAGCTCGAGAAATTGGGTCAAACTTAACCCTAATTGTCATGTCCTCCTGTAGGTTTTACCTTATGCATTTATAAAATTCACTAGTGTAGTAATATGGTGACACTTGAAAGCCACGAACTTTAGTTGCTCAAAGCTATCAAGATTAGGGTTGCCAACCGATATTATCGGCGATAATTCCCCAAAAAGTGATTATTTTGTTTATTGACAGCAAGCTAGAAGAGATCTGAGATTAACTCGCCACTTTCTCGAACTCTTCTTGATATGCTACGTACACGATATGTCAATAGAAAGAACCTTCATTTCGTATCGCTGGTAAAGTTCTACTCGGACCCCGGTATTCTAGATGAAGATGTAGGACAAGAATACAGAATGATCACAAAGTCAACCTTGATACTAAATTCTAAGTCTCTGCACCAGCAGAAAGAGACAAAAAGCGATTGAGCTTCGCAAGTAGTTCGACGATTGGCCCTCAGGACTCAAAGGCGACTCTCACAATTTCAGATGCCATATTCCAATTCTATCCCGCTGAAGAATTATCAAACCTTCATAAGGGTAGCGATTCGACTGCGGTTGCAAGGACAGATACCCTTGCTCGGGAGATAGGTCTGATCGCAGCTAACAGGCAGGAAACTGACACTATCAAAGAAATACGTCGTGCATATATGCTGATTTCTTTTAAAAAATGTTTGCTAGAAGCAATAAGTCTTTAAAAACATTTTTGTTCATGAAATATTGGCTTGTTCAATGTTCATGTTAAATAAAAGGGCAATATTGCAATTGATTCTTTAACAAAGCAATCAGCACAAGATAATGCTTTTGCAAAGTTTTTGATTTCTATCTTCGAAGTTCGAATTTTACCAGTATTAATGTTATTAAAGATTTGTCATGACTCGATGTTTCATTTTTGAAAATCAAATTCAATTAATGATAATTGCTACATTGTTATGTCATTTCGTAACTATATAATGATGTTGTTACAATGTAACGTAGCATAGGAGCATAATTCAAGTATGCAGAGTGCATACAAATATTACTTCAATTATATTGCCAAATTTATCGCCGATAACCGATATTATCACGATAATTTTGAAAAAAATATCGATTATCACGATACAAAATTTTGTACCGATAATTGCAACCCTATACTGCAGTTTAAAGGTGACTTGTCGCACTCCCTTTCTCGCTGTCCGCAGTTTAAAGATGACTTGTCGCACTCCCTTTATCACTGCCTACTGCAGTTTGTGATCATCTCTGGTCATTGTCCACTTGGCACTTGAGCGTCTACTCATTCCCCCTCATTTCACTTGCCACTTAGCCTCCATCATCTCCACATAGACAACTCCGACAACCTCCTTCAGGGTTGCCAGAGGCAGGCAGCTGCAGACCATTCTGATTCTAGGTCCGGCCTATTTTTTATTAATGCACGTTTTCCTGTTTCATAGAAATTTCATTCTAGAACCGTATTATATTATTAAAATAAATGAAGTCTGAATGTAACGCTAAGTTTTCACAAATTACCTTTATTTATAAATCCCAAACTTGAAGTTTAAAGTTTAAAGATTGATAACTGACGCTGGATGTGAAGCTGGATGTGAAGGTAGATGTGAAGCTAAGGCACTCTATTCCATGAGACCCAGTGTACCATTCTCTGTGTCAGGTTATCATATCTACCAATAATAAGCTTTTCGCTTAGTCACGTGAGCTCTGTAGCTCGAGCCTGAAAACAAACACGTTCTTTTGTCTTACTCAACTTTAAAACTGACCTCAACTAATTCGATCATCATCAAGATGAAGGGCCGGGAGTGAGTTGTCTGGGAGTGGGCCCATCTCTCTGTGAGGTGACGGTCTTCAAGTTGCTCATGTACACCTGGTCATTACTTCAACTTGTTTTTTTTAATTTGTTTACTGGGAATAACACGGGTGCCATGTTTTTAACCCGATCGTTTATTTTTGTTTGTCTGAGTTTTAAAGTATTTGCGTCAGCTGATGAAATAGGTGAGTCTGGCGAAAGTCCTGTATTCAGTGTTGTCCAATAAAACCGAGCATGATAGATATATGCATTATATAGGCAATAGGTCATTAGGCATTAGGCATATCAGGAATGAGTTGGGAGAGGGAGCCATGTAAATAACGTATAGAAATGAAGGGTGAACACTGGACGTGTATCACAGTTTGAGTTATATTTCCAATAATGCTCTCCGTCCGTCAACTTGACACTGACCACGCCCACCCAGGTGGAGATGCACTGTCTTGTTTCTCGGAGTTCCAGAAGTTTGAGACGGCGGGTTGTTTGCGGAGGGTAGACGAGGATGATGGGAGTTACAGTCAGGAGGCAGTGTCCGATATCAAGAACATGGACTTCTGTGTGTCTAGCCCTACCTACGGTGCTGCTAAACAAGGTGATTATTATTTTACAGTTTTATATTCTTCGCTTATAAATATTGTTAATTTCTAGATGTGACTATGCGAAGCCCAGAGATTGTACGATTGGGACAGTTCTGTAACTGAAATGCACCTCTCAAGCTGAATCTTTAATTGTACATTGTCCAGGAACTTTCGGGAAGTCAAAGACGTACGTGGCAAAAGCCGACCTCAAAATGTTAGATCTTGGGAAATACTCCAAAAGCTACGGCTTCCTGGGATTGGCATTCAATATGATCGACACCAAGAACTACGACATTGCATACGTCAGGTTAGTTTAGCTTTATTACAGTTAACACACCAGATTATAATGATTGATTCTGAACATTCAATATAGAGTCTTCACTTCAATATAGAGTCTTCACTTCAATATAGAGTCTTCACTTCAATTCAAATCACTGCTGGGAGATAGGTTATGTATTAGTATTAGTAGTAGTAATAGTAATATTAATATCGCAGACCCCACGCTAAAGATCACTGCTGGGAGATCGGTTATGTTGAGAATGGGCTGCTGTTCGGAAGAGACTTTGGAGAGTGTCTGGTTCCAACTAAAAACGAGTTCAATGTAGCCATCAGCGTCGAGAAGGGCAAAGGTAACGTTCAAAATCATATATTTCTCTGCGGAATTTGGGATTTCAATTTACTTGTTACAACAAGCTCACAAGCTCGTTTATTATTCAATGAAAGTTAAGTAATTGCAATATGTAAACTTTTTCAGGAGAGCTGTACGTCAATGGAGCCAAGGCTACAACCTTTCGTCCTTACTTCCCCGCGGTGAACAAGGTTGCTACAGCCATGAGAAACAACATGGAAGCCAAGATGAGCGTTAGGAACCTGGAGGTTTGCCACGGTGAGTTTTATAGGATCTGCCCGTATATCCGGCTTTAATGTTCGGATTACGGTTCCGGTCTGCCACGGTGAGTTTTATAGGATCTGCCCGTATATCCGGCTTTAATGTTCGGATTACGGTTCCGGTCTGGTTTAGAAGGAGATCGGCCGCAGTACAGGGTATCAACCGTATTCTTTGAAAATTTTATTTGGATACTGGTAGTGCTTTTTTAATTTTCTTACCTTAGTTAAACCAGTACAGCTATCAGAAGTTTCGACATTTTTCAGTAAAATATTAATTCTCCTGTTTGCCACCCGGTTCCGGTCTGGCAAACAGGTAAATAGATTGATATTCGACCGTTTCCAGCTGCCACACCCCTCAACCGGTGTCCGGTACTTGGTTCCTAAATCTTAGTTTGCTCTAACCAGAGCCCTCGCGCTTACAGTATAGAATGTGTTGTGTTCAATACAGCGTACTCTACAATCAAACGGGCTACAATTTACCGGGGGCCTCTTGTGATCTCCCCGCATAGTCTCCAATTGTGCTAACTTACAATGGAGGCTGAGGTCAGCTTAACTTGTAGAGATCAAAGTTCTCAATCGGCACCCATTGAGATTACATGACATTTACCATGTAATAGTGGAACCGTAATCCGCATGAGATAAGTGGAAAACAAAGCAACAATTTCAAAACTCTACAGATAACCATGTAGCCTACCAAGAATATTACCTTCAGAAATTAACTGTGTCTACCGAAATGATGATGGAGAGACGATATCAGTGAAACCTTTAGGGGACTACCAGACTCCGGGGCAGGACGAGTGCAGTTCTTGCAAGTGTCAGCTCTACGGCCAGATCAGATGTGGGTGCAAATCTGCTGAGGAACAAGGACTTTCTTGTTCGGGGGTCAGTAACCTAGCAACTAGCAAGTAACCTAGCAAGCAACCTAGCAAGCTTGTTGTTGTATGCCCAAGCTTTAAAGTCTGAGTTTTGTTTCAAGTTTCTACCCGTTTTTAATACTTTGTTGTATCTGAACTCACAGTGCAAGCCACATTCGTAGTGGCCCAATTTATGTTAATACTTAACTATTAGTAATAGTTTGAACCCAAACTAAAGAAGGTTATTTCAGGGTATGGTACCAGCTACAGGTCGACATGACTGCTGCGCTCGTTGCGTGCCTCGTTAGTTTCACTTCCACTTTCACTTACACATTCTTATCTTCTATGTAGTTGTGTGCCTCGTTAGTTTCGCTTTCTTATTTCTACTTCTATCTGGTTTTCATAAAATGAAACTTAATTTGTTCTGCAGTTCGGCACGTTATCATTATCAAATTCTCATCTTGAATTTAAACATTATGTCAAGTTATTATACCTATTACACCTATAACGTGTGTAGAATATACAATTAATTGTATTCTATTTTTCAGCATCTGCAACTTGTTCAGCCTCTGGAGATCCACATTACAGATCGTTTGATGGTCGCCCATTCGACTTCATGGGATATTGTACTTACTGTTTCGCTAAAACAATAGATTGGGAGGTCAGGGAGAAAAACTATCGAGCAGGAAGTGTCTCTGTTCACGAGTAAGTATAAAATACCACACATCTGCTTACATACCATTACCTATTAGAACCACATCTACCACAATGATCAAAATACGCAAAATTCCTAAGTATTACCCACAACATGTTTGCACTCTACAAGTACTCAAGTACATCATTAGATCTTTCAAAAACCTAACAATTTGTTTGACCAGGTATTCTCAAATCTTGTTTGATGGTGATCTGATCGAGATGAGGGGAGGACTCAGCCTGACCCCTGATGGACAGGCCCCACGTGCTGTGGCTACTCCTTTTAAGAAATACTCTAAAGCTGGAGACTACATCTACTGCCCTACCGGTTCCAACTGCAAGATTTATATCGAGGACCAAAAGATGATGGAGTTGACGTCCCAAAGAGGATACATTAGTCTTTGGGTAAGTTTAATAATGTCATCTTCTCTTGCGATATCCTTTAGTTCTTCAATATCTGATACCAAATACTCCCAACATACAAATTTAACAATTGGAATTCCTCTAGATCCACGGAACTTACTACGAGAAGACACAGTGTTTGTGCGGACTCTGGGACGGTAACGCTGGAAACGACTTCCAGGACAGGGATGGAAACAATGTAGGGAATGCTAACTCGATGGCAGAAGCTTGGAGGGTGTCCAATAATGACGGGTGTCCGAACCCGCCCACACCGCCAGAGCCTTGTGATGAGGTGTCCAGGGAACAGAGGAACTTGGCGGAGCAGTATTGTTCCAGATACAAGCAGGAACCCTTCCGATCCTGTCCTATTGATGTTACTGAGTACTTCAAGGTACAGCCATAGTCTGCTAATATTGGGAAATGATTCAGTTGGGAAAACACACTCCACGAAAGTTTAAAGGCTTACCATTTGGCGTCCCGCTGAAATTTGTTGGCGCCCCTAAAAAAATATTTTAGGTTTCAAAAAGGCTAATGATTATATTTAGTATTATTATTCCAGCTTTAACACTAACCGCTGTTGCAGGGATGTATGTATGATGTGTGTACAGACCCCACTAACGATGATAACGTGTGTAATAATGCTGGTGCCTATGCTGCCGCCTGTCAAGCTGCCGGATACCCTGTTATGGGTAAGAAAACACCCTTTATTAACTTAAGTAACACACGATATTTATTATACCGGGTAGGAAGCTGCTCATTTCAGACATTGCTGAATGCTGATACTATTTAAGCGGTTATCAGCGGTTATTAGTGGTTATTAGCGGTTATTAGCGGTTATTAGCGGTTATTAGCGGTTATCAGCGGTTATCAGCGGTTATTAGCGGTTATTAGCGGTTATTAGAAGTTATTAGCGGTTATCAGCGGTTATCAGCGGTTATTAGAGGTTATTAGCGGTTATCAGCGGTTATCAGCGGTTATTAGAGGTTATTAGCGGTTATCAGCGGTTATCAGCGGTTATTAGCGGTTATTAGCGGTTATTAGCGGTTATTAGCGGTTATTAGCGGTTATTAGAAGTTATTAGCGGTTATCAGCGGTTATCAGCGGTTATCAGCGGTTATCAGCGGTTATTAGCGGTTATCAGCGGTTATCAGCGGTTATTAGCGGTTATTAGCGGTTATTAGCGGTTATTAGCGGTTATTAGAAGTTATTAGCGGTTATCAGCGGTTATCAGCGGTTATCAGCGGTTATCAGCGGTTATTAGCGGTTATCAGCGGTTATCAGCGGTTATTAGAGGTTATCAGCGGTTATTAGCGGTTATCAGCGGTTATCAGCGGTTATTAGCGGTTATTAGCGGTTATTAGCGGTTATTAGAAGTTATTAGCGGTTATCAGCGGTTATCAGCGGTTATTAGCGGTTATCAGCGGTTATCAGCGGTTATTAGAGGTTATCAGCGGTTATTAGCGTTTACCATTAAGTTCCCATTGTACAGGATGGAGGTCGAACAGTTTTTGTCCCTTGGACTGCGAAGAGAGTTTTGTTTACGACGACTGTGGCCGAGGATGTTACCCGACCTGTGAAGACCCAAGTCCGGAGGATTGCAAGGATACTTGTGTTGAGGGATGCTACTGTCCCCCAGGTACTTAGCTAGTTCTGAGACTCATGAAATAAACACAGGTGACAAATGTATAGTGAGGCTCAACTGTTACCTTATAGTTTAGAATTATTAATTTCTATTATAATTTTCTATTTCTTCTTTGTCAGGCACGGTGCTACAAGATGGGAAGTGTATAGAATCTTCTGATTGTCAGTGTCTCCACGAGGGTACCATCATTGATAACGGGGACAGCTTTAACGACACAATACAATGTGAAACATGCACGTGTCAGGATGGAGGTATAATAGAATGTAGCCCCCTGACCTGCCCCACCTGTCCGGAAGGTCACGTGCCAGTCAGCAAATCAGGGATCTGCTGTCCCGTGTGTCTGGCGGACTGGGTCTGGGAGACAGAGGAAGTGTTCGAGGTGACAGAGGGAGAGGGACCTGTTACACTGCAGTGTCAGCTACACGAGTGGGTTCTTGTGTCTCCAGATGATGTAAGTCACTTCTACATTAGCTGTATACTGTATACTGCACGTCATCTCGTTACAATGTTGAGGGTATATGTGTATATGTGTATAATTGTGTGAATCAATAACGTTCATGAGTGTTATTTAAATCTCATTTCTATAAAGGCAACAAAAACATATTTCCTCCTTTACAGATCACATGGAAGAACGGAGACGGAATCCTTACAGAGGATAACATACCGGACAACTTCCACTTCCATAAAGACCACCTTACTCTGACCATCAGGAAGGTATACATTCCCACAAACCAATTAATCAATTATTTTGTCTCGTAAAGCAACAGAATTTCTAAAATCTAAGCTACTTTGAAATTGTCCTATTATCACATTATCAGGATATCTCAAAATATTAATTAATGTGCAACCTCCGTCAGCCGATAAAACTAGCGGATGCTAACGACTACGTTGCTGAAGTTATGTACAATGGAGTTGTAGGGGAGTGTAGATTCGAGCTGATCGTCAACCAGTTCACTGTGGATATTATAGACATTGATGGGGAGTCCCCCAGAGTTGTAAAGGAAGGGGATTGTCAGACTATGTCTGTAAGTAATGTTATATTGTCAGACTATGTCTGTAAGTAACGTTATATTGTCAGACTATGTCTGTAAGTAATGTTGTATTGTCAGATTATGTCTGTAAGTAATGTTATATTGTCAGACTATGTCTGTAATTAATGTTATATTGTCAGACTATGTCTGTAAGTAATGTTATATTGTCAGACTATGTCTGTAAGTAATGTTATATTGTCAGACTATGTCTGTAAGTAATGTTATATTGTCAGACTATGTCTGTAAGTAATGTTATATTGTCAGACTATGTCTGTAAGTAATGTTATATTGCCAGACTATGTCTGTAAGTAATAGTCTTCTTTTAAAAAGAAACCTTTCTAGCTTGTCAAAGTAACATCACGGTAAATTAATATCAATTTGCCTCCATATACCTCAATATACACATACCAATGTCTACTCTTCAGGTGAAAGTCGTCAACAGTGACTTCGATCTTTCATTTGATGATTTCGTGTGGACTAAAGGACTGACTGACAAAGAGATAGATTTCAACAGTGAGAAGTACACCAAGAAAAATGGCGGGAAAACAATCGAGGTATGTCCCAGGTTGAATTATTCGAACTGGGCGGACTAGTTGCCACATTTAATATATATTGTCCCTCTGTTTACTGTTACATCACTTCCTCTGATTACTTGCTATATATAACCTAACTATACCTTAAGAACGACAAATTTAGTCTACCACATATTTAGTCAAACTTTTGACTAAAATTGTTGTAAACCAAATTTCATGCTCATTTAGTCTCAAGACTACAATTTTCGGCGACTAATTTTAAAGCAGACTCTGATTTAAAATGAGTCGCCGAAAAATTTAGTCTTGAGACTAAATGAGCATGAGTGCTTATATCTAGGTTTATATACCTAGATATAAGCACACAGTGCTTATAACTAGGTTTGTGACACTAGATATAAGCACTGTGTAATTACTTTTTACTCTGCAGGTTTGCGACGCAGATGATATGGATGAGGGAATGTACACATGTTGTGTAACTAAAGAGGAGGCTACTGATTGTGCAGAGGTGGAGTTGATGGTTCTGGCTATCTGCCAAACTGACAACGAGGAACAGTACACTGTAAGTAATAGTATATTTTACAAAGGAGCAGCACACTGTTGACTGTATGTATATATCTTACACACATTTATTTACAAGAATACGAACATGTAACCTTTATCTATTTCACTGGAAAATGTAACCTGCTGATATAGATGTTTGTTTAGTATCTTTACTATTGTCTGATTGTCCATGTGACAGGAAGGAGAGGAGTGGAAGGAAGGAGAGTACCAGGAGTGCACGTGCACTCTACAAGGAGAGATAGTTTGCACGTGCGCCGAGCAGGACATCACGTGCGAGGAGGGAGAGGAGATCTACTATGATGCGAGCTGTGAAAAACACTGTTCCAGAGGTTGGTTTATTTGCTGTTGTTATTCCCTTTAATTGTGCCTGGGTTAGAGAATAGAGTACTGTAACTGTAAGCTGGATATCTTACTTACTCCTCCTAAATCTTACTTACTTACTTACTCCTCTTTCTAGAGCCGGGTACGTGTCAAGTAACAGGAGACCCTCATTACAAGAGTTTCGATGGATACCGACACGACTTCCAAGGAGGAAACTGTCGCTTTACATTGGTCAGTACTCAGTAATCAGTGAAGAGAATTCATTATCATAAATTATTGTGTTGTTATTCTATGATGATATGACTGGTGTAAACAAGGAACCATTTTCAGGTGAAAACATCAGACTTCCAAGTGATCGGAACAAATGTTCACAGGAACGATAACAAAGCTGTAGCTTGGAACGATGCTGTCGAGATAATATTCAAAAGTAAGCTCAGTCAACACTTATTGTATATTATATATATTATTGTATTGTGTATAAATGTTATATTTAATATATCATTGTATATATCTAAGACATGATAACAATAAAAATTAACAATTCGTTTTCCAGCAATGGACATCTACATGGGGCCAGAAGGAAAAGTGACAGTAAATGATGAAGATGTGAACCTACCTTACAACAAAGCTTGGAGAACAGAAGAGTCAGTCTCAATCACCAGAGCTGGAAGCAGCGTAAGTGGAAATAGCTGTCTTACCTTATAAATAATATAAAACAAGTTGATGACTGAAAGATCAGGTATTGAGGTATGATGATAAGATCAGGTATTGAGGTATGATGATAAGATCAGGTATTGAGGTATGATGATAAGATCAGGTATGGAGGTATGATGATAATATCAGGTATTGAGGTATGATGATAAGATCAGGTATTGAGGTATGATGATAAGATCAGGTATTGAGGTATGATGATAATATCAGGTATTGAGGTATGATGATAAGATCAGGTATTGAGGTATGATGATAAGATCAGGTATTGAGGTATGATGATAAGATCAGGTATGGAGATATGATGATAAGATCAGGTATGGAGATATGATGATAAGATCAGGTATTAAGGTATGATGATAAGATCAGGTATTGAGGTATGATGATAAGATCAGGTATTGAGGTATGATGATAAGATCAGGTATTGAGGTATGATGATAAGATCAGGTATTGAGGTATGATGATAAGATCAGGTATTGAGGTATGATGATAAGATCAGGTATGGAGATATGATGATAAGATCAGGTATGGAGATATGATGATAAGATCAGGTATTGAGGTATGGTGATAAGATCAGGTATTGAGGTATGATGATAAGATCAGGTATTGAAGTATGATGATAAGATCAGGTATTGAGGTATGATGATAAAATCAGGTATTGAGGTATGGTGATAAGATCAGGTATTGAGGTATGGTGATAAGATCAGGTATTGAGGTATGGTGATAAGATCAGGTATTGAGGTATGATGATAAGATCAGGTATTGAGGTATGATGATAAGATCAGGTATTGAGGTATGATGATAAGATCAGGTATTGAGGTATGATGATAAGATCAGGTATAATTGAGGTATGATGATAAGATCAGGTATTGAGGTATGATGATAAGACTGGCAGTAACCCCCATTATTCTACAGGTGGTGTTGTCGGTGGGACTAGGAAATGGTCTGGAAGCTGTAACAGTGACCTGGGACGGTAACAGTACGGTCTCCTCCACTATCCACGGCAAGTACTTCCAGGCCACTTCAGGACTCTGTGGTACTTGGGATGATGACAGTGATAACGACCAGACCCGTAAAGATGGACAAGTTGAGGACTCTCTCGACCAGTTCGGCTGGTCTTGGAAACACGTGGAGGGAGGTAGGTCCTAAGTAGTGCTCCTTCATCTAACTTTCTAGTGCTAAAATAACAATTTAGCAACTATTTTACTACTTGATTTTCCCGTTTAAAACAGCCGGGAATTATTAGTTTATTGATATAAGTTAGTTTATTATATATAGTGATACATGTTAAGTTATTGATACAAATTAAGTTATTAATATATTGATTGAACCCTTGAAATTAACCGTAAACTAACCTAACTAACAACTAATATCCTGTAATTACAGCGGAGGTTTGTGAAGAGGAGCCTGAACATGAGCACCCCTGTGACGATACTTTCTTCCCTCACGCTCAACCTATCGCTGATAAGGCTTGCGATATTCTCAAAAGTTAGTTAAATTCTCACATTTGCACTTACGTCATTAATCAAACAACCTGAATAGAATTAATTTATACATATTTTATAAGCGGGATAGAACTAAATGAGTAAATGTAGCCGCCTCCCCACAATTGTAAATGTAGCCGCCTCCCCACAATTGTAAATGTAGCCGCCTCCCCACAATTGTAAATGTAGCCGCCTCCCCACAATTGTAAATGTAGCCGCCTCCCCATAATTTCAAATGTAGCCGCCTCCCCACAATTGCAAATGTAGCCGCCATCCCCACAATTGTAAATGTAGCCGCCTCCCCACAATTGTAAATGTAGCCGCCTCCCCACAATTGTAAATGTAACCGCCTCCCCACAATTGTAAATGTAGCCGCCTCCCCACAATTGTAAATGTAGCCGCCTCCCCACAATTGTAAATGTAGCCGCCTCCCCACAATTGTAAATGTAGCCGCCTCCCCACAATTGTAAATGTAACCGCCTCCCCACAATTGTAAATGTAGCCGCCTCCCCACAATTGTAAATGTAGCCGCCTCCCCACAATTGTAAAATATGTAACCGCCTCCCCACAATTGTAAATGTAACCGCCTCCCCACAATTGTAAATGTAGCCGCCTCCCCACAATTGTAAATGTAGCCGCCTCCCCACAATTGTAAATGTAGCCGCCTCCCCACAATTGTAAATGTAACCGCCTCTCCATAATTGTAAATGTAGCCGCCTCCCCATAATTGTAAATGCAGCCGCCTCCCCACAATTGTAAATGTAACCGCCTCCCCACAATTGTAAATGTAGCCGCCTCCCCACAATTAGCATTTCCCCACAGGCGCACCATTCGACGCGTGTCACGAGGTTGTAGACCTAGAAGCCGCTCTACACAACTGTAAATACGACACCTGCTCCTGTCTGGACGAGGCGTGTGGGTGCCATGCTCTGAAACAGTTTGTTAAGGAGTGCCAGGAGGCTGGTGTCACCTCTCTCGCTGATTGGAGGGACCACGCTTCGTACTGCCGTGAGTTAGAAATTAGAAACACGGAATTTAGAATATTCAACCACGACACTGACCTAGAAAATAGTAGTTAGCAATTTTGACTGATGGTAATTGGTAATGACATTAACATAGACAGAGAGACAGGCTTATGTTAACTCCGAAGATTCCAAACCCACCACCGTCCACAGCACTACCTTGTGAAGAGCCTCTGAGCTACGACTCCTGCGGCAGCTACTGTCCAGCAACCTGTACCAACAAGACCCCTGACTGTGGCAAGCTGGAGGGGCAGTGTAACGAGGGCTGCTTCTGTCCTAAGGACACCTACCTTCAGAACGGTACTTGTGTCATAGCTCAAGAGTGTCAATGTGAAGCTAATGGACAGTTTTATGAAGTAAGTCTGTGGTAGATTTTGTACTAACTGATTTGTAAAGACTCGCATTATTTCAATTACCAGTCCATGTGCCGAGCAGAAGCAACATATACTGCCGAGGTACAGTTTTACACCTATCAAATATCACACAAGTTCCTCTAAAGTAAACTTTTCTGATCTTGTTATCCTCAGGTTGGTGCAGTGTGGGAAGACAAGAACACGTGCCAGGACTGCCAATGCCAACAAGAAGGAGAGCTGTTGTGTATCCCAGTCAGATGTCCCAAGTGTAACAAGCAGCAGCAGGCTGTCTACGAGAACGAGGACGACTGCTGCCGTACCTGTATCACAGAGTGGCTCTGGACAGAGCAGGTAATTGGTGCCCCCCCCCCCCCTGCCGTACCTGTATCACAGAGTGGCTTTGGACAGAGCAGGTAATTGAAAGAAACTCAAAACTAATCCAAACACCCTAGGCTGAGTATGTAGACGTTCCCCAATACACCGACCTTGAACTCCAATGCCATTCTGCCGTCAAACCGTTCAAGGTGGATTGGTTCTACTCCGGAGATAACGGGGAGAATTGGGAATTAATTGAAAAGGAAGCCCTCAAGACTAGTCCTAAATTGAAGTACACTCTTGTAGGCATCACCGAGGAGAACGACGGTAAGATGATAACTAGCAATCAAGAAGTTAAGAATTAATGAACATTTAAACACACTGTTATATGTGTCCAATACCATCCAGCCTCACTCTAAAACCAGCCTCACTCTAAAACCAGCCCACTCTAAAACCAGCCCACTCTAAAACCAGCCCACTCTAAAACCAGCCCACTCTAAAACCAGCCTCACTCTAAAACCAGCCCACTCTAAAACCAGCCCACTCTAAAACCAGCCCACTCTAAAACCCGCCTCAATCTAAAACCCGCCTCACTCTAAAACCAGCCTCACTCTAACACCAGCCTCACTCTAAAACCAGCCTCACTCTAAAACCAGCCCACTCTAAAACCGTCCTCACTAACCAGGTCTGTACAAGTGCGAGGCTAGGAAGAACTACAGGAAGATGTCGGTGGTGATCAGTGTCCAGACAGCGGAGAAAGCAACCTCCTGCTCAGCTATTGCTCCTGAGAATGGTATGGTGTCCCCTGACGAGGTGGAGATAGGAGGCACTGTTAGTTATCTTTGTGATGATGACTATCTCATGTCAGGTATTTCTTTTTTGGTTTACTTGTGGATCAATCGGTATTTTCTATTTATTTCGTCAGTTAACTTATAAGTACAACTTATTCAAGCGTTTATTGATTTCTAAAGAGGGCTGTTGTTCAAATCCTGGAGCCTGGAGGTAATGATAACTGTAGTGCTAAACAGAGGGCTAATATTGCAGGAGAGCCGACAGGGACGTGTCAGCAGGACGGAACAATAGACCAGCTTCCTGACTGTACTACAATCCAGCTAGTAGACTTCAGGACCCCTCAAACTGCAGTGAGGAAAGGAAAAGTTAACCTGATGTGTCAAACAGAGGATACTTCCTTCACACAGGCCTCAGACATCAAGTTCTTCTTCGTTAACGACGATGATTCTCAAGAGCTTATATCAGGTAAACACTGTCTATTGTTTTTATAACCAAGTTTTTATAATTTGAAAGAATTTTTGCACAGATTCCTAGTGTAAGCGAAGATTATATTATTTTCTTGTCTTTGATTACTGTAAAACTAATTATTGTAAAATTCAGATGCTCCCAAGTACAAGAAGAAGTCTGGCACTATCTCATTCTACGTGAACGGCGTTAAAACAGGTGGCAAACCAACCAAGGTCCTCTGCAGAGGCAAGAACGCTGCAGGAACTAAGATAGGAGAAGCGACCATATCTATAGTAGGATAGAGATCTCAGGAGGAACTGATACAGATTGATATGTTTTAGACTATTTTCAAAACTACAATTCAATACTTTATTGAGGACGTTATAAAATGAATTGATTTAATGTAGTCTGAGGAGTCCTGATCCTCCTCGTGTCCTAAGATGGCATTTTTCTTGTCTCCTATCATATTCTGTATTTCATTCGAATCGCATTCAATAATGAATTTGTTTTACTTGATTTTTCCAAAAATTAAAGATTGATATAGGCGATGTTCAAAAATTGAATTTTTACTCATATGCTAACATAAGTGAAAACAATCTTAAATTAGACAGTCTTCATAAAATATAACTTTCAACAACTATTAACCGGACCCCTCCAATTTTATCCGTCATGTCAAAAATAAAGAATAACACCTTTTAAAACATTTGAACTGTCAAAGGAAATCTTAACATTGTGCATATTTTTAGATGAATTTATCCAATAAATCCATTCACGGAACAAAATGTGTAAATTACAACAAAACCAGTAAACTTGTACAAAATAAATTACATATGACTTAATGTAATATATAGAACGTAATTTATTTTAAAAGTCAACGTCTTGAACTTAAATAAGTCTAATGTTCTGATATCTAAAAGACTATATACAAATCCCAGTAGAATGTGTTCCTGTTAATTGCGTTACACGTGGGTTGTAGTTTAGCTTGCCTGAGAGACTGGACCGGGCATTGCTGGCATTTGAGGAAGGGGCGGAGCAGCACTTGACATGGGAGGAAACGCGGGCATCTGAAATGTATATGTACAGAAACAATCGGGGAAAAAAGCCCAACTGTATTGTGGGAATACATTTTATCTGATAACTATTCAAAAGAAATGTTTATCTTTCTGAGGAAACTCAAGTATTGACCATTCTGTTTACTTAAGTGTGCTTTGAAAGAAATAATAATTAAGTTTACACAGTTATCTGCGAAGTAGTAAGTAAACAAATGTAACTTTAAACTAACCTGTGGTACGTTAGGTAGAGGAGGGAGCCCGGATCCGAAACTAGGAGGTTGAGGAGGAGCAAACATGGGGGGCCCAGATATGGGGGTAAAAGAAGGGATAGAACTGGGGACAGGCATGGACTGAGGCGCATACATTGGGATTTGAGGGGTTTGTTCCACAGAAGTGACAGGAATAGTAGCAGGTGGGGCCTCCTGAGCAACAGGAGCCATTGGTTGAGCAGCAGGAGGAGCCAACACTTCAGGAGCCAGGGAGACAGGAGCAGGGATTTGCAGAGGAGCAGCTAGTGGGGGAGGGGTAGCAGCAGCTACAGTCTCCATTGGAGGTGCAAGAGGAGGTGCTACAGCAGATGGTGGTGCAGCAGCTAGGAAGGGTGGAGCAGACAGTGGGGGAACTTCAGGAAAGTGAGGCACTGGACTCACAGACTGAAATTGTTAATGATTTGTAAAATCGTAATATTAAACAGAGTTACTAAATCCGTCGCGTTAAGTGAGACACGTCACACGGCGTAGGTTATTATGTCTGGAGTCTGGTGCAGCAGTTTTGTGTGTACTTACAGCAGGAATTGGCATGTGTCCAGGATTCAGAGCAAAGTTTTGAGGGGCGAACATAGGCGGAGGAGGGTTGGCATTGGCAGCAGCGTTGGTTGGAGGAGGTGGTGCAAGGTTCAGGTTAGCCATACCACTTGTGACTGCAGCTTGTGTCTGGGTCGGTGTGTACTTCATATCTAGTGCCACCTGGGGGGAATTTTCTATCAGCATTGAACAGATTGTAGTCTTTGATCTATCCTTGTTGTGTTAAACATAACTCAATCTTTCACAATTCGTAAAAGCAGCCTGACGTAGAATATGTTCATTGCGCGGCTTCGAAGCGCAGCAGCCACGGCGTAAGTTTGACAGAGAGGATGAAAACTTCATACACGGAAAGTGCCATGCGCGCTACGCAAAGTTGATTCTAAAACTGAGACTGGCCCAAGATCCAGGTTCTTACATTGGCAAAACCATCAACCCCAGTTGGACCCACCGTCTCAACGCCGGTTTCAGGTGTAGGAATTCTGTGTAGATAACCATAGCCGATATCACATCCCAGCCTGTTAAAGTAATATTTTACGATATTATCAACTGGATTGTCAGTTAATGAAATGTTTGCAAAGATTCGATACGCTGGGAAGGGCAACAATAAAATCAAAAAATGCAAAGAATCCAAAATTTGAAAAAAGGGTCTTTGAGCACATGTCTCTGTAAGGCAGATATTGAGAGAGGGAAGTACTTACATGCCCTCGCCTCCCCACTTGCTGTTAGGAGTAAGAGTCAGCTCCCTTACTCCGTCTGTAAGAGCGCTGTAAACATACACTTTTATAGGCTGACCATCGCTCGTCTCTACCAGCATGAAGAAATCGTCTCTCTGAAAATTGGTAATTTCAACAAGCTGTCGTGAACATTCCTTATATATTATATAGTTAGATACAATATCAATTTTAACACTTCAATAACTAACTGATCCTGCATACAAATTAAACAAAAAAGTCTCTTTGAATATATCTTAAAAGAAATACAATTTTCTTAAACCGCAATTACCTCGTTCAGAACCTGGTCTGACCCGATGATGTAGTCAGTATCAGAATGCAGGCCAGCAATAGCAGCAGGGGAGTTAGTCTGCACATCTAGTACATGCCACACATTCTCTGTAGCTCCCTCAAAGCTACAGAATCTGATGCTGATACCTGTGAGAAGAATGTGTCAGATATCGGCTGAGCAACCGGACACTATCGTGGTGGACTATCATGTTGGTGAACATTAGGGCAAAATTTAAAATAACAGGACATTGAATAACTTGATACTCACAATACAGTTGTGTTTATTGTAATGTGAGAATCATATTGTGATTCACCGTACCAACCATTTTAGGAACTTCCCCCGTAGTGTCCTATTTACTCTACAGCAGGGTGTCAGAATTATTGGCGTGTTTGAAATTGTATGTGTATTTTATAGTCGGATCCCAACCGTTCTAAAAGGCTATCTCGTTAGCTTTTCGTGTTAAAAGCGATTTCTCAACGGATATCACCTCTCTAGATGATTCTTAAAACATTTGGACTTCATTGCATTTTTGAAATAAATGCAATGAGGGCGTTTTCGGCCACACCCCTTTTCAGGGTTTCGCGGTCAATCGAATTTTTGTATTTCAGCCCAGGAAGGTTTTGAAGACTATTTCGATACACCAAAATGTGCCTAATAGCCACATTTATATACAACTTATGAAGCAACATATACCTTAAAATGCTTCGTTTCGGAAATATGGCCGAAAAACGGTTTTTGGCTTGAAGCAGTTCATATTTTCCGTGATTTTTGGCATTTTCGCCTAGGAAGGTCGCAGAGACTATTCTGATACACTAAAATGTACATAACGGCCACATTTATATACAACTTATGAAGCAACATATACCCTAAAAGGCTTACTTTCGGAAATGTGGCTGAAAAAACGAATTTTTGCCGAGCGAACAAGACAGTATTCACAAATGGGCTATTGGACTGTTAACTAAAAAGGTCTTAAAGAAGATTCATGAGGAACATAGCATTTGTCACAAGATGTAAGATGACTCACTTTGTGTCCAGAAACACCTACAAAAATTGGAGAATGATCTACTTTATTGGGCATCTCTCTTAATCAGTGGTCGACCGGGGGCAGGATTCTGACCGGGGCCGGGGAGCCCCAATATAGCCGGGGCCGGGGCTGACCACTGAGAATTGGCCGGGGCCGGGAAATCTTCCATTTTGCCGGGGCCGGGGGTAGTTTACCAAACTGTAGTCAGAAATTGAAACGTGAATTTGATAATAATTTTGAAAATATTTTTAAAAATTTTGAAAAAATAACTTTGAATTCTCATAATAACCATTAAATTGTGTTTGATTTTTTTCAAAAATGTGCCAAAATCATTCATGAAATCCCCGGCTGTGCCCCCGGTAAATGCATGGTTTTTGGCCGGGGCCGGGGGTAGATATATTGGCCGGGGCCGGGGTTTACCCCCGGCGAATTGCCAAATTTTAGCCGGGGCCGGGAAGGGCCGGGGGTTGTGATTTTGGCCGGGGCCGGGACCGGGGCCCCGGTCGACCACTGCTCTTAATGCTTTAATGGGCCAGGACAGCAGCATATTTGTATTTTACGAAAGGGCAATTTTTCAAAATTACGGTTTCTTAAGGTCAAAGGATCGGCTGCTAACAGCAAATTGTTCGCAATTGCCGACTCATGTACATCATATACTCAAAAACGCTCACTTTAGGAGTCATTAGTAAATAACTACTACATGATTTGTGACAACCCCAACAATTTTTCCTTGGCACCAATTTAAATAAAATGTGTTTTTTTTTTTTTTTTATTTGAAAATTCAATTAATCATTATATATATAAATCAAGCGTTACATTTCAGCCATGCAAAATTAAAATGACATATTTTGATATACAAATTGATGAATGGTACTGCAATATAAGTTGCTTAATGTTTGGCCGGATGACAACTAACGAGAAAAATAAACTTGATTAAACATAATAATTAATTCGGCTGAACCAACACATAGTTAGAGCCACATTAACGTTGTTGACCAAAATTCAATTTCAAACTTTTTATTTATATTCATGCCATGAAACCATAATATATGTACCAAGAATACCGCACCTAAAATAAATCGGCACTGGATCCGGGCCAGATTGTTGCTTGACAGCTGACCAGTACCCCACTTTAAGTGCCTCGACCAATATTGATCTGTAATCCCTGGATTGAGATCTGTTGGCCGCAGTTTAATTTAGTTAATTTCCTATAATACCGCAGTGGTTTGGTTCTCACTTCAGAATGACCCCATATTTAATCAAGTGGTGACTGGCTAGTTCTTCTGTTATTACAGCTGCCTCGAGATCTTATCTGGGGCATGGGCACTAACTAAGAACATTAGAACTGTAATTCTAGAACCTCATATTAAGGTTACTTGGCAGAATAGCATTAGCAGGGTTCGAGATTTGACTGAGGGCATTCAGGTAACATACCAGGTTCATATCACCAGTTGAGGTGGATCTTAATTTCGGCATGCAATGCCTTATAAGTTATAAGCTTATAGTAGGATCACGGGGTTTATATAATAGAAGGTCTCGAGATGCTGATTTAGCTATTTAGGTTTCACATGTGAAATTTTTCCAGCTTTGGGTAAAGTGCTAAAGTGGATTTTAGAGCGGGGAGGGGGTCTAAATGACCAAAATCTTACGGGGCACTAGTACTACGGGACAAGGGACGGATATCGAGCCTAGTAGCTGTTTTCTAATGAGAGGCTGGGGTATGGACCTAGATGGTCAACGTTAGGATAGCATGAGGATTTAGGATGCTCTGCCTGCCTTTCGTGGGGTCTTGTAACCCCGAAAGCTGGTATATATTATCTAAATTAACCTTGGTTAAATCCCGTGCTGTTTCGAATATATCATTAGATTTATAGGTCCAATATCAAGCAAAAAAGTCTGATCTCCGGTACTGATTTTACACTTACATGATCTCCGACGCAATGATCTCCGAAGTCCGATCTTAAAGTTGGATCTCAGAGCCAAAAAGAGGAACCTACGCCTTGGTTCCTCTCTTTGAGAGTCAAACAGGAAATTCGGTGTTATCAACTCAAACTCGGATTCGTAGCACAATTGAAAAACCAAAGAATAAAAATCTGAATGAATTTCCCGAAATCCTAAAATTAATATCAGGTTGTATTCGATTCAGTGGCCCAAACTCCAGTTTGGGCTTACGAGACTTAAGTTCAAGTCGAGGAACACTTTGATTAAGCATGATCCTTGTCTAGTTGGAGTTTTCGCACATCATGCATCTACTAATCACTCCTAAACTGAGAGTTTTAGAGTCGACTATCGAACCCTGCCATTCAGTCAAGTAATCTTAATCTGAAGTTCTAGAATTACAGTTCTAGTGTTCTAGTACTAATGCATTAGTGCCCTAGATAAGATCTCGAGGCAGCTGTAATAACAAAAGAGCTAGCTAGTAACCACTTGATTAAAAAACGAGGGAATGACACACATTATCATACGATGGGAAAATCTATGCGAACCAAACCACTGCGGTATTACTATTTAAATGGTAAATGAGCTAAATTAAACTGCAGCCAACAGATCTCAATCCAGGGATTACAGACCAATATTGGTCGAGGCAGTGAAGTCAATTATAATTATAAAGTGGGGTACTGGTCAGCGGTCAAGCAACAATATGGTTTTATGGAATGAATAAATTAAAAACTTTGAATTTTGGTCATTACATTTTGGCTAAATTGGTGCCAATGAAAAATTGTTGGAGTTTTCACAAATTATGCAGTATAGTTAAACTTATTTACTAATGACGTTTTTGAGTGAACGTTTTTGAGTATATGATGTGCATGAGTCGGCAATTGCAAACAATCTGCTGTTAGCAACTGACCCTTTGACCTTTACTTTGACCTTTACTAAAGAAACCGTAATTTTGAAAAATTGCCCTTTCGTAAGACAAAAATATGCTGCTGTCCTGGCCCATTAAGAGAGATGCCCAATAAAGTAGATTATTCTACAATTTTTGGGAGTGTTTCTGGACACAAAGTGAGTCATCTTACATCTTGTGACAAATGCTATGTTCCTCATGAGTCTTCTTTAAGACCTTTTTAGTTAACAGTCCAATAGCTCATTTGTGAATACTGTCTTGTTCGCTCGGCAAAAATTCGTTTTTCAGCCACATTTCCGAAAGTAAGCCTTTTAGGGTATATGTTGCTTCATAAGTTGTACATAAATGTGGCCATTATGTACATTTTAGTATATCAGAATAGTCTCTACGACCTTCCTAGGCGGAAATGCCAAAAATCACGGAAATTATGAACTGCGTCAAGCCAAAAACCGTTTTCGGCCATAATTCCGAAACGAAGCATTTTAAGGTATATGTTGCTTCATAAGTTGTATATAAATGTGGCTATTAGGCACATTTTGGTGTATCAGAATAGTCTTTTAGACCTTCCTGAGCTGATATACAAAAATTCGAGTGACCGCAAAACCCTGAAAAAGGGTGTGGCCGAAAACGCCCTCATTGCATTTATTTCAAAAATGCAATGAAGTCCAAATGTTTTAAGAATCATCTAGAGAGGTGATAACCGTTGAGAAATCGCTTTTAACACGAAAAGCTAACGAGATTCCGTTTCGTCCCTGACTATTATGATGAAATCAATATTTTTCGACGGTTCATAATTTTACGCAAAATTGTCTACGCGCCAATAATTATGACACCCTGCTGTAGTAGCAGAGTGTAGTGTTCACTCTGCTACTCTAATTTATTTCTTGGTGATGATTCTAATTGTAGTCAACAACAAAAAACGTTAAAAATCTCACCGAGTAATCCTTGACCTCCCCACATATTACTGGGCACTATAGATATCTCTGAAAATGATAAGTTACAGTTGAGAAATAAGAATGCTTTCATTGCTAATCCTAGTATTAGCGGCGGAAAAAGGAATACAACAGGTCCCTGTATCTAAAAAGGAATACAACAGTTCCTTATATCTAAAAAGGAATACAACATGTCCTTGTATCTAAACATGAATAGATTGTATCTAAAAAGGAATACAACATGTCCTAGTATCTAAATAGGAATACAACAGGTCCTTGTATCTAAATAGGAATACAACAGGTCCTTGTATCTAAAAAGGAATACAACAGCACAGGTCCTTGTATCTAAATTCTAAAAAGGAATAGAACAGGTCCTTGTATCTAAAAAGGAATACAACAGGTCCTTGTATCTAAAAAGGAATACAACAGGTCCTTGTTTCTAAAAAGGAATACAACAGGTCCTAGTATCTAAAAAGGAATACAACAGGTCCTTATATCTAAACATGAATAGAACAGGTCCTTGTATCTAAAAAGGAATACAACAGGTCCTTGTATCTAAAAAGGAATACTTGAACATGTCCTAGTATCTAAATAGGAATACAACAGGTCCTTGTATCTAAATAGGAATACAACAGGTCCTTGTATCTAAAAAGGAATACAACATGTCCTTGTATCTAAAAAGGAATACAACAGGTCCTTGTATCTAAAAAGGAATACAACATGTCCTAGTATCTAAAAAGGAATACAACAGGTCCTAGTATCTAAATAGGAATACAACAGGTCCTAGTATCTAAAAAGGAATACAACAGGTCCTTGTATCTAAATAGGAATACAACAGGTCCTTGTATCTAAAAAGGAATACAACAGGTCCATGTATCTAAAAAGGAATACAACAGACCTCCTTTTATCTAAATAGGAATACAACAGGTCCTTGTATCCAAATAGGAATACAACAGGTCCTTGTATCTAAAAAGTCGGAATCAAAACACGCATGTTAACACGCTTATAAACACCTCTAAGCTGCTGAGTTTTGCTGCTGTAAATCGTCATCTGCATATGTTTATCTATGTTGGCTTTCAACAGGTCCTTGAATGTTTCGTTATCTTGGTCCTGTAGGATATATTTCATAGAGTCCAGGATCAGGGGTGTAAGAAGAGGGGGGTATATTACAGTAGTTTGTATAGTTCACCACGGAAGGGGGGAGCAGGATTGAGATATTACAGTAGTTTGTATAGTTGTACATATAGTGTACATCACGGAGGGGGGGCAGGATTGAGATATTACAGTAGTTTGTATAGTTCACCACGGAGGGGGGGGCAGGATTGAGATATTACAGTAGTTTGTATAGTTCACCACGGAGGGGGAGCAGGATTGAGATATTACAGTAGTTTGTATAGTTCACCACGGAGGGGGGGGGGGCAGGATTCAGATATTACAGTAGTTTGTATAGTTGTACATATAGTGTACATCACGGGGGGGCAGGATTGAGATATTACAGTAGTTTGTATAGTTGTACATAAAGTGTACATCACGGAGGGGGGGGGGCAGGATTGAGATATTACAGTAGTTTGTATAGTTCACCACGGAGGGGGGGGGGGGCAGGATTCAGATATTACAGTAGTTTGTATAGTTCACCACGGAGGGGGAGGGGGCAGGATTGAGATATTACAGTAGTTTGTATAGTTGTATGTATATAGTGTACATCACGGAATTATGAGCTAAATAAGTTATCCCATATTAGTGCATAGAGTTCACAACAAATTTAATGAAAAGCGTTTTCAGGAAACACTGATGGGAGATTATACGACATAAACGGGAGTTTATCGGACTCAGAGGCACATATTAGGTGCGATAAAAAAATCGAAATTATGCGGTACCGCACCCGACTATAAAGGTAAAATGTGCGGTAAGGTGCGGTAAATTTTTACCAATTATGCGGCAAATGTGCGGCGATTTTTTCGAAATTTGTGCGGGAATTGTGCGGTTTTCTTTTGCATTTTCTCAAGGACTTTGGAAATTCTAAACGTATAACCGCCGCTCTTTCAAAAATAGGTCTGTTCATGTGTTACTGAGGGTGTAGTTCTTTACTAAGACTATGAGACTATATTGAGATTCAGTTATCCGAGAACAGTGACTTGATCTGGTAGAGATCAGGAGACATTTATTTGAAGACGCCTCTTGATAGAGTCGATCAGATCCCATGCGTGATCGCAAATATGTGACACGCTTGTTGGCATTGATTGTCAGTACTTGTGAACCATTTGATCTAAGATCCATTATGCCCACAATAAAGCCAACGCTACAACGAATAGAGCTCATTACCCTTTACACCTACTTCTTCTATTATCACATACTTTGGATCATGGAATCTACTCAACAACTTCAACCCCTGATATAGAGTAATCAGATGTGGTTACGAATGAAGTTACGAATGATAACTGATACACTATAATCGAAGTACGGTAACGACGAGGGTTCCATAACGGCCTGGTTCACGGTCCCGAAAGGGCCTGGGTCACGGTCCCGAAAGGGCCTGGGTAACGGTCCCGAAAGGGCCTGGGTCACGGTCCCGAAAGGGCCTCGGTCACGTGGCCTAAGCATGGGTTCCATAACGGCCTGGTTCACGGTCCCGAAAGGGCCTGGGTCACGGTCCCGAAAGGGCCTGGGTAACGGTCCCGAAAGGGCCTGGGTCACGGTCCCGAAAGGGCCTGGGTCACGTGGTAACCGGGTCACGTGGCCTAAGCATGAGTTCCAAAAGGGCCTGGGTCACGGTCCTGAAAGGGCCTGGGTCAGGGTCCCGAAAGGGCCTGGGTCATGGTCCCGAAAGGGCCTGGATCAGGGTCCCGAAAGGGCCTGAGTCACGTGGTAACTGGGTCACGTGGCCTAGGTATGAGTTCCAAAAGGGCCTGGGTCACGGTCCCGAAAGGGCCTGGGTCAGGGTCCCGAAAGGGCCTGAGTCACGGTCCTATAAAAGGGCCCGACTTTTAACATATTTTGGTTTTAACACTCGAAAATCTTAACGCGAAAATTTCAAAATTATGCGAAATTACGCGGAAAATGCTAGATTATGCGGAAATATGCAGATAATTACAAAATGTGCGGAAAACAATAAATTATGCGGAAGTGTGCGGAAAACGGTAAATTGTGCGATCCCGCACCCATCGCACCTAATATGTGCCCATGTTATCGGTGCAGGCCACTCAAATGATTGAGGAGACCTAATCAAGTAAGTAAGTACAGATCAAGTATATTATTTATAATTGTATGTTGGATGCTCCCATCTAGCGCAAAAATTTATTTTTGGTATTCTTTATTCGGATATATATTTATTGATTAATTGTGTAATGAATTAGTGATAAATAATAAATTGTATTTTCTCTCTCAATAGCTCAAAATACAGCACCTCTGTCAAGCAGTTTTGGGCATGGCCACTTTTCAGGTACTAGTTTTTTGTTCAACTGCTATCTCGAAATCAGGTTGCACATAAAATTCAGGGTGAACCCTGACTTTTTTCATAGATTTGAGTATTTGGATACAAAGATGATAAACTAATTTAACAATGAACAAACATATTTATTGAGTAACACATTTTATTCTCTCTGATTTGTTGGCCTGACTAGAATTAACTCTCCAAAATATGGAACTCGAATGCAATTACTAATTCTTCGATAAAAATCCTTTAATGACTTACCAGTCTGGTGTTACCAATTGCAACAATGAAGTCGAAAAATGGTTCCAAACCAGCATGAAATCCAGGGGAACCGTCTTGAACCTGTGAGAAACTAGGGTTACAAGAAAGCAGTAACTACTGATTAGGTTAATTCATTAGGTTAATTCATATCTAATAACATAATAAATACTTTCGTTTTGTTCTACAACTGATGTTAGATTTGAACCACTAATAACAGCACACAATGAACCAATAAAAAACTGGAAGTTCTATCAAAAACTGTATTACAACAAGAATTTCGCCGCGGTTAAACCACGCACGATCAATTTTCCCTACTATGTACTTGTATTTTGTATAATTAATTCTTTCGAGTGAAAAGTGTGACTGGAAAAAAGTGCAGCATATTTTACATACTATGTTTAAATTAATAAATGAGTGGGATTCGCGCATGGTAAAAATTGACGATTTATTTGACTAATGTAGCGCCGCACGCATCAACAATAAATAAATCCAGAAAATTGCGGAAAATAACTTTGCGAAGGAGGAACTTCACTGTAATTAATTAACACATGACTAGCGTCGCGCGCAGCATAACAGACGCTTCCAATACACATAATTATAGGGGAGTGCAGTGGTCTATATTGCGAAGGAGCAGACTTTTTTCATCACCGTAAGACCGTCGGGCCACCTCATATATCCAAACCCGATTACTTATTCCCTACGATCTTTTTGCCTTCAGCAAGAGTAGGGGAAAAAATGCACTAGGAGCTGGAATGTGGAATGTGGAGTACTGACCCTCAAAACATGGTAACCTTCAGAACCTCCTCCAGGGATAACACTCTGCTGTCCACCCATTCTAATGGTTGTTTTATTTATCATATTTTTACTAGCTTATATAATCATTATAAACTATTAAAATATCCACTATTTAGTCAGGATCCACCTCAAGCAAAGAATGAAAGAATGCAGATCACTGTGTTGCACATTGTTATGTTGACTGAAATATAATCGCATTTAAGTTTGATATTTCGTCTTAATATTTATGGGTAAACAAATGTATCAGTCTTCAAAATCACAATTATTCAATTAAAAATGTTGGGTAAACTTAAAGTTATATTTTAACTTGTACTAACTAGAGATAATAATGTAAGCTATATTTTTCTATTATAGCTTACATAATCATTTTTACACATCACTGTAGTGTGTGAAATACACAAAGCAATCCCACCCCCCCCCCCCCCCCCCCCCCCCCCCCCAGCACAAGCTTACATAACATGTACAAGATCCCCTTATACATTCTGTACGATAAACATGCATATGTGCTTGCTTTAGTTAGGATACAAGGATAAAAAGTGGTAATTACTTTATTGAAAACACAGTGGTCATCTGGAGGGGGATTTGTTTAAAACACATTAGTGATACGAAAAGTTGTTTTAGCATGAGCTTTCAAAATACATGTGTAAATTGTCTCCAGCTAGGAATGATGTTGTGAAGGGGTGATTATATATGAAGGAGTGGTGTCAATGATGAGGGGTGTCCAAGGGTATAGTGGATAGGATGGATGATGATGAAGATGAAGATGAAGATGAAGATGATGATGGGAAAATGTTTTAAGTTTACATTACAATAACATTCAAATACTTTCAACACTACTATATAACAAATAATTTGAGGTATGACAATGGAAAGTCCGCTACGATGATAACAAACAGCGGTGAAGACAAGACAGCAGAAACAGAGAGTGTACAGCTGTCGGCCTGTGTTCCGAGGCAATGATACTCCACTGGGTATAGTAAAAGAGTGTTCAAAGGATTAGCACAAGTACATGTAGTTAACAATATATCCTGAGAGATAACAAAGTTAAGGTAACAGTATATAAGCCAAAGGTCCTATAATATAAACTAAAGGTGTAATATATAGGACTGGAAATATATAGCCTGACATTACTCTCCCCTTTAAAAAAATCTACCTCCCTTCAAAGTGAATGCATAAAAACTTTATAAGATCCTATAAGTGCTCAATATTCATATGAAATAGATATAATAAAGTCTCCCAGGATTAAATTCTCAAATATTGTCAAATAAATTAAAAATACAAATAACCCATGCGCATGGGAATTCAATAGTCAAAATAACTTATTTATAAAAATTGACTTAAAATTAGCAAATTCGTAGAAAAATATAAATTTCAATGATAAATCTGTTTTATCTTTCCATTCAATAATAGAATTGTATCCTTTCAATAACATATTCAAGTTTATAAATTTATAAATTGTGTGACCTATAACTGGTTGATTAGTCTAGTTGGGGGCCTGACTACCCTCCCTGATCTGGTGGTTGTAGTTGTTGAGGGTTCTGTAGGTGGGGATGATGGTGCCGGCTGTGGAGCTGATGGGGCAAATACTGCACTCGTTGGCATGTTGAAAACATTGTTCGCAAATTGTTGCCGATCTATCAGCGGTAAGTTATGCTGAGGGAGACTGTTATCAACATAAACTTTTCCTGCTGGTTCCTGAGGGTTTTGTACCGGAACTGAGCTACCCATAACCATAGAGGCATCCTGCTTCTTGCCTGCAGGCTGAATCTGGTCGTGATGAACTACCTTGGATTTGCCGGAAACGAAGTTTACAATTCCCCAGCACGATTTTCCAATCTTCTTGGAGATCTGGAAAATTTCATCCCATATTGGATTCATCTTGGGATATTCACCATGGTTTCTTTTTAGAAGCACCCAGTCCCCGACCTGGTATTCGTTGACGTTAGTAGTCTTGTTAGCCTGTTTCTGATAGCTTAGTCGAGACTCCTGCTTGTTGAGAGGGATGTTTTGCCTAACCAACCGTGTGTCTTGAGCTTTTTTTTGATTGACACCCAACCTATTGTCGATTGGCAAGTTTGCTGACACTCCGTAAGCAGCCTCGAAAGGAGAGAATTTCGAAGATTTGTTTTGAGTGTTATTAAACATCAATATCGCTTCTGGCAGGAGCTCATCCCATTGAGTAATAGGGATGCCTCTAGATAGACACATAGATCGCAAAATTGTTTTGAGGGACCCAATAGCTCTTTCTGCACTGCCATTACCAGCTGGATGATATGCAGAAGATCGGAGCTTTTTGATTGCAAATTCTTCACATAGTTGTCTAACTTTGGTGCCATCAACATTACTTCCCTGATCTGATTGAAGTAATTTAGGTAGCCCATAGTAGCTGAACCATCTGCACCATAATGCGTCCACGACTGTCTCAGCCCGTGCATTGGGTAAAGCTATTGCTGTCATCAGCTTGGTAAATATATCTGTCACCAAAAGAAAGCTTCCGTTGCCTCTCCTGGACACCGGCATGGATGCTAGATCCATAGAAATCATCTCGAAGATCTTCTCAACCTCTCTATGATCCTGCACTGGTGCTTTAGGCTTAGGTCCATGTTTGCACTGTGTGCATGTTCTACAGTTGGAAACAAAGGACTCCACTTGTTTTCTCATACCCCTCCAATAGAACCTTTCAGATAGCATCAGGCAGGTATTATCGATTCCTGGGTGGCCTTGTCCGTGGTACTCTTGGATGATCTTTGGGGCAATCCCCTGAGGTACAATGACTCGGGAGCCTTTGCATAGTAGGTTATTGGAGACTTTCAGGTTCAAGAATTTCCTGAATAAGCCTTTATCCACAATCTTGTCCTGACGGAGTGTTTCTATTGCTTCAGCAATATCTTTGTCTCTCATCTGAGCCTCTCGGAGCAGATTCTCCCCTAACACAAACACTGAAGGGTCTTCTGATGGGGCATCACTCCCCATTATTCTGCTCAAGTAATCTGCTTCCTGGTTGTCCGCTCCCTTCAGGTACTTGATGCAGTAATCAAGATTTTCCAACTCTAATATCCAACGGCCGATTTTCCCTCTGGGATCTTTCTGTCTATGAATGTTCCTCAGTGGCTCATGATCCGAATAGAACGTGATCTTTTCATAGCAAAAAGCTTTCCACTTTCTGCTAGCACTTATGATACCATAAAGTTCTCGCTCTGTAGCAGACCAGTTCTTTGTATTCTTCTGGTTAAGGGTCTCGGAGTGATAACCAATGGGTTTGAACGAACCATCCCCATCATACTGCCCAAGCACACTCCCCACTGCAATCTTAGAAGCATCTGTTCTTATCACAAATGGCTTAGACCAATCTGGTATGAACAGCGAAAGAGCAGCATGAAAGGTGGTCTTTAACTTGTTAAATGCAGCTTGTTCTTGACTTGTCCAAACAAACGGGACCTTTGACGATGTTAGGCGATTCAACGGGGAACATATCACAGAGTACCCATCAATAAATCTGCGATTGTAATTGGCTAAGCCCAAGAAGCTTTGTAGCTCTTTCCTTGTAGTGGGAGCCGGGAATTCTTTAATCTTAGCCATGTTTTTGGTTCCTGGTTTCAGGGTTTTCCCATCTATCCTGAATCCTAAAAATTGGATCTCTTGGTACGCAAACTCACACTTGTCCTTTCTCAGTGACATGTTGTTGCTCTCAAGCACTTGCAGCAGGATCTCAAGGGTATTGATATGTTCTTCCATGGATGTGGAGCACACAATCAGGTTGTCAACATACGCATCTAGGCCGATTGCACCCTTTTCCGTGCACTCCTCTACAATCTTGTCCATACACCTCTGAAACGTTGCCTGTGCATTCTTCAATCCAAACGGCATTCTCTTAAACTGATACTTTCCCCGGGGTATACTGAATGCTGTTTTGTGACGATGACTCTCAGAGATTGGCACTGTCCAGTAGCCACTTGCCAAATCCAGCTGAGAAAAGAGGGTACACCCAAAGGCCTCATCTACCAGCTCCTCAACAGTAGGCAAAGGGTAAGTATCCTGAACCGTGTTACGATTAACCATTCTGAAATCGACAACAAATCGTTTTGAATTGTCATCCTTCGAGACCAGTAGGGGATTGCTGTTGAAAGGTGAGGAAGATGGTTCTATGATATCATGTTCTATCATTTCTGTGACCTGTGTGTCAATCTCCTTTGACCATTTTGCTGGAATTCTCCTTATTTTGCTCCTAATTGGGCGGTCATCGATACTCTTTATCTCGTGTGTGGTAGCAGAACTGCACCTGGGTGCTCTTGGATTTTTTGCAAACACCTCTGGGAAACTTTCCAAAATACTGCAGAGTTTATCTCTTGCCTCAGATGGCAAGTTCGGGTTAATGTCATGTCCTCCCTTGTCAGCATTTAGAAAGAATATCCATTTCTCTCCCAAACGAACCTTTGAATTCTTCCAATCGAACTCAGTGCTGGAAAATTGATTTAGGAAATCTCTACCCAAGATAACCATTTCTTGGATGGTACTAAGGTTGGTTTCGTGCAGCCATACCCTGTAGTTCTGGCTTTTGTCAGAGGAGAATCTTATGTTGTATTGTGTCTTCGGACCAATCAACTGTCTACCCCCAATCCCCTGCACAGAAGTACTGCTCCCATTTTCAATCAGCACTTTATTAGTCGAAATGATAGAGATTTCTGCCCCACTGTCTACAAGAAATTGTCTAGGATGCCAGCTGTCACCTAACTCAATCTGTCCTTCAACTTTGCTGTCATATAGTCATCTTCTGTCATGGTTGTTCCGCTTTGGAGGGAACTTCTTATTCCTAGAGGTTCTCCTGGAGGGGCAACTCTCCTCATCGTGTCCTTTTCCACCACAACAGCTACAGACTCTTTGATAACATGTTGCTTTAAGGTGACCTGTCTTCTTACAGATATCACATACTGGTCTGTCTTTTTTTCCAAACTTCCGATCTGACTGGACAGCATACATTTCAGAATCCTCCTCATCTGTCACTTCTAACCTTGAACGAAGCTGATCCACCTCCTTCAGTAACTCTCGAGCCCATTGAGGTACCTGCTCTTCTTGCTCTACCGGAAATGCAAATGTTTCACTAGTCGAAGCTTCTGAACTTGCTGAATTCTTTTGAAGCTTTTCCATACAGTCTTTGAAAAAGCTGGCTACACCGGCTGCATCTAGTTCGCTTTTAATTTTATCTTTCTTACACTCAAACAGCTTCTTCCCACCGGGTATGTTTGTTAGAAACCGCATGATGAAGACATCAGATGGGATCTTAGCACGCCTGGCTAACTCGTCCAGTTGGAAGAAATAAGACCGTATCCCATCCATCGAAGTATTAACCGGCAGCAAGTTGAAAAATGTCATGCTTTCGGTGAACTGACATGGTGGGCCATCAATGAGATCTTCAAGGAACGTAAAAGCTGTTTTCACATCTGCCTCTTCTGATGCGGTGAAAGCGAGCTGCTTCTCCCCCTCAGTCCGGTGAATATAAACTGGTAAACATGCAAGCTGCTGTTCAGGTTTAAGGGTTGCTGTAGCCGCTAAGAAAACCTTCTTAAACTGTGCAATTTTCTGGCCTTTAGCCAGATGAGGAATTTCAATTGCTGTAATCATTCTTTGAGGATATAATGTCGGCCTGTGTTCCGAGGCAATGATACTCCACTGGGTATAGTAAAAGAGTGTTCAAAGGATTAGCACAAGTACATGTAGTTAACAATATATCCTGAGAGATAACAAAGTTAAGGTAACAGTATATAAGCCAAAGGTCCTATAATATAAACTAAAGGTGTAATATATAGGACTGGAAATATATAGCCTGACACAGCTACCAGACACCTGTGATCGGGAGATA